CTCCCTGGGAAGAACAAAAATAAATGTAAAAAAAAAACCCAGAAAAAACTTAGTGAATATAAGGACACTGGGGAGGGAGGGAGTTCAAGGCTGATGTGCGACTCATTTCCTATCCCCCAAAATGAAGAGAATGAGCCTTTACATCCAGCACCTTCATTTTTATGTGATGGTGACCCCAAATCAATCCTTTTAGCAGTAGATATGGGACATGCTGTTAGCTTTTCCAACAGCTTAGATCGGGTTTGATTTTTATTGTTGGTCGTTCTAAGAATTCCAATGAGGAGAAAGCTCTCGTGGGTACAGTAAATTTGCTTTCCCCCCTTTATATTTGTAGTTCATAGCAGCCTCCATTTTCCCTTTATTTTGAAAAGTACAAATGCCTTTAATCACATTAGGTGTGTTCCTTCTCCATGGATGCCGGGGAAGAGGCTCCCTTCCTTTCTCCCATAGCTCCGGAATTGGAAATTTGGTAACTGTACTAAATTTTAAGTTTTGGCATTTGTATGGAACAGCCATCCATCTGCTGGCGAGACGCACTGCCCGGGGCTTTTTGAGAAATCCCTTAATAGTCCTAAACACTAATAATATTTATATACATTGAGATGAGACAAAATTTACAGCAGGCTTCTGGGGCTGACTCCGGGACTCTCTAACCCTGAATTTCCTGCATGTTCTCCCGCCTCCCAGAATCCTCAGGTTCTGCTGTGGCCAGGGGGTCTTCTGTCCCTGGAGCAGTCTCTTATTTACAGATTTTGTCCTCCAGCAAACAAGTTACCTCTCCTTTTTCCCCCCTCCCCATCACACCCTACTCTTACTCCCCTCGAGTCGTCGATACATGTCTTGCTGTTTGGATCCCATACCATAAAGGAACCCCTTGATTTGTGATCCCTTTAAGAAGAATTGTTCTGCTTATAAATAACAAGATTTCACCTAATTTAAGCTTTGCTGAAATTTCTTCTGAAGGAGCTCTCCTTGCTGAAACAAAACCCTAATTCCCCAGCCTGTGTGCTGCTTGTGGCAAGAACTGACGGACCGTGTTTTCCACGTAACACACGCCTTGGAAAGGGTCTTGGGGGGACCGCTGCCCAGAGATGCCGTTGCCGTCGGAATGAGAAAATACTTTGTCAGGTTTGGGGGATTTCTTTTTCTTTCTCCTACTGGAGATGCCCAACATTTGCATGTGGACATAGCTGATTCCCAACAAGAGCACAGGGATTTTTTTTTTTCTATGCTTTTAAATGCTCTTGAGTTTTTAGTACTCTTTAATATTAATGCCTGCCACTTAACGACTTTATATAGCATGTTATTTAAATTATAAGTGAGGGAAAGGGGGCTTGGTGACCAGATAGTGGCCCCCGTTAATTTCTGTTGATGATCGTGAGATTTTTCATCAGTTTTCCCTTCCTCCAATCACAAAGCTCGGTGGTGGCCGATGGTGGGGACTTCAGGGCTCTGAGTGAGGGGGTGCTCGTGCCAGCATTCGAGACTGTGAACACAGGGTTCTTCAGCCAGTTTCATGTTAACCACACAAACCTATGGGTCTGTTAATATTACAGAAACCTTGTCGGGGCCACATAACAAGGCTGTGTCTCTCCTCTCCCCTTACCTGATCCCTCTTCTGTCAGCTCGGCCCCCTCAGGTCATGGTGCCCTCTGTGCAGCTCCCAGACAACCTTTCCAATATGAAAAGCTGCCTTTGTTGCTCTTCCCCTGCCTAAAATCTCTGGTGACACCCATCACCCACCAGTTGGTGACTAGCCTCCTGCTATCTTCACGGGCACCCAGTCCTCCTGCCACAGCGACTGGATTGCCTTTACGCACATTGACGTGTGATTTCCTCCATGTTCTTCTTTACTCTTCTCCTCCTCGTCTTTCACCTTTCATCTCCAGCCTGAGCATCTCTTCAAAACCATCCCTGATGCCCAGGGTGCGCCATGAACCTGCACTCGACCCTGTACTTCCCTGGCATATCGCCCATTCCTCGAGGGCGGGGTCTGGCACGCAGGTGCGGACGTTGCTGAATAAACACTTGCTAAATGCATCAACAACCGGCGGGTCAATGGACTTCTGTTCCCGTTACTACTTTAAAAACCTGAACTAAAAGACACACAATGTATTTGTTTCCTTAGATCTTGAGCCTTGAAGTTAACCTCCATACGGGATAGATTTGAAATTAAATAGTCACGGAATCTATTTGATAATATTAGATGTGTTCAGGTATGAGATATGATGGGAGAGACTGTGCTCGTGTGTGTGTGTGTGTGTGTGTGTGTGTGTGTGTGTGTGTGTTTGTGTACCTTTACTATAAATACGCTAGACTTGTAAATTCAAATTAGTGTCACCCTCCTCAAGATGATCACCCGGGTGGACAATATATGTATCGCCACATTTTTGCAACTCCTATCTGTAACACCTACTTTTTCAGGGTGCTTAGAGATACTTACTCCTTGTTATTTATTGTGTAGCTTAGTTTCTGGAAATAGCCAGAAGTCATTGAGGCAATTCTGGTAAACAGAAGTGATACAAACCAACGGGAATGGTTTTCTTCTTTGCTTGTAAGTAGCTCTGAAAGTCTGTCTCAGTTGGGTGTAATGAACAGCAGGCACATATATAGGACAAAAATTTATTTCTCTCTCTAGAAAAAGCCAGGTCTAGAGGTAAGCAGTACAGGGTTAGCCTTTTGGCGGACCAAGATCCTTTTATCTTACTCCACCTTCTTAGTGGGCTACCTCATGACCAAAATGGCTGCTGGAGCATGATGCATTGCTCCTGCATTCCAGCCGGCAAGGAGGAAGGGCACACTCACTGTTTTTAAGGCATCTTCCAGTAACTACTAACCAAAAAAGTTTTCTTATATCTCACTGGCTAGGACATACATTACTTCTAGCTACAAGAGAGGCTAGGAGATACAGTATCTAGCTGGGTAGCCAAATGCCCAATTAAAAATCAAGGTTCTATTATCAAAGTAGATAAAAAGAATAAATAATGGAAAGCAGCCTACGGTCTCTGCAAAAGGATAATTTCAAAGGAGAAACTTGCAAAATTATTTTAAGAAGCTTGACAGTATCATGAGAATGTATCTGTTTTCTTCAGAGGTGACAGTGTTCATTTGAATGGCCAAGTTCTGATGTTTGTTTTTAAATTCACCTTTCCACAGTAAAATAGGAACTCTTGGGTGCAGTTAGTGGGGTGTAAATTGGTAAAAACTTTCCAGAAGATAGTTTGACCTGGTGAGGTCAATTCTGGAAATTGATCCTAAGGAAATAATTAAGATTTCTCATGAAGATCGCAGTGTTCATTGTAATAATAAAATGTCAGGAGTAAAGGAAATGTCTCATAGTAGGAGACAGGTTATAACTTACACTATACTGTGAGATGAAATGTAGCTGTTAAGTGATTATGGAATTTACAGTATATTATACCAAAAAAAAAAAAAAAAAAAGGTTTCAGGATGGCTTGTTCCTTTTTTTTAGATATTTATATGTACATGCTCATGCATAGAAAGGGACCTGGGGCCGGGCGCCTGGACGGTTCAGTGGGTTAAGCCTCTGCCTTCAGCTCAGGTCATGATCTCAGGGTTCTGGGATCGAGACCCACATCAGGCTCTCTGCTCGGTGGGGAGCCTGCTTCCTCCTCTCTCTCTGCCTGCCTCTCTACCCACTTGTGATCTCTGTCGGTCAAATAAATAAATAAAATCTTAAAATCTTAAAAAAAAGGGGGAGGGACCTGGGGGGACCCACATGAAGTTATTGCTAAAGGGGGTATTTGGGGCAGATGGACTAGACGTCCTATATATTTTCATTTATCTGTGATCTCTGATTTTTTTTTTAAGCACATATTTTGTTTATAAGGAAAACAGTAATAGAATCTTCACTAAATAATATATGTCAGATTCAATAATATACATATTTAAATAATTTTGTTTTGTTTCCCAGCTCAAGAAAAAGTAGGAAACATATAATATAAACCAGATTTCATATTTGGTTGATTTATACTTTATTTGCTAGTGAGGCTAACAGCCCCACAGAGTGTGATCATTACATCGTTGTTATGGAAATAAATGCCAGCTCATCTACTTGGGACATGAATTGTGGATCTCTGCTTTTTAGCCACTGCTTCCAGTAAAGTTTGGCAGAGTGGCTCAAAGGAGATGGTTTCTAATATGCTATGAGTGACTCCTCTGGGCTCAGAGATACTCTCCACTGCCCCCCTTTTTTTCTTATTTGAGAATAACAGACGCAGGGACTTGGTGTTATAATAGGTTAGGCTCTGGGAATAAGTTAATACCATCATTTTTGGGGAGCAAGAACTTTGACATAGAAACGGACACAAACTTTTTCTAAAGCCATTTTGTAAACCCAAATAGTATCACCTTTAATATTCCAGTTCATCATTTTTAAAATAAACGATTTTTTGAATGATTTAAAAATATTTGTAATAATATATATAATAAAATAATTTTTTAAGTAATCATTTCTTCACACTAAGGCTTTTCAAGGTATTTCATGGAACATGGTCATAATGCAGAGGAACAATACATCATGCCTTTAAAAGGAATAATACGCCTTATTGTTCCCATTGGGCTGCTGCATTATCATGTTGGCCTCAGGCAAAGCTCTCATATGGATATTACTACCCCCATTGTATAGATGTGAAAAGAGAGGGTCAAGGTCAGAGAAGCTAATGACTCCTCAGGAGTACACAGAGAGTAAATAAGAGAGGCCGAACTCAAAACTCAAAAATACTCAGAGTATTTTCTCCCTGCCTTAATGAAACTGTGACTAGGGTCTGTAATACTGCCATTCCAAGTCTGCCGCGGGCTACAGAGCCCTGGGAAGCTCCGTTTGGGGATATCGTGGGTGCGTGGGCGGGCGGCGAGTGGGTGGTTGACCCGATCTGGTCCAGGGTGGCCAGTGACCCAGGACAAAGCAGGCCAGGCCTGGAGGAGGCAGTCCAAACCCGATCTCTCAGTCTCACCTGCCGTCCCCTCTGCCCCCACAGTGTGCCCGAGCGCGTGCGGGAAGCGCGCATGCACCGAGAACAACGAGTGCTGTCACCCCGAGTGTCTGGGCAGCTGCAGCGCGCCCGACAACGACACGGCCTGCGTGGCCTGCAGACATTACTATTACGCCGGCGTGTGCGTGCCAACCTGCCCGCCCAACACCTACCGCTTCGAGGGCTGGCGCTGCGTGGACCGCGACTTCTGCGCCAACATCCCCAATGCCGAGAGCAACGACTCCGAGGGGTTCGTCATCCACGACGGCGAGTGCATGCAGGAGTGCCCCTCTGGCTTCATCCGGAACGGCAGTCAGAGGTCAGTCATGCAGTCCCCCCCTTGGCCCCCAATACCCCCAGCCCCGCCCAACAACTCCCCCCTTCCTCCCCTTCCCCCGCAACCACAAAATAAAATGCATTTGTTTTATATTGTGTCTTAGAAGTGTACTGCCAAGCCACTTGAAGTTAAGTACGTGGCTTGCTGTGCTGGTCTAGGTAGGTGGAGGTCACAGTCTCCCCTCCCTGCACTCGCCAGGTTGCCTGCTAAGCAGGTGTGGGGTAAACCCGGGAGGACTGTACATTTAGGTTGTCCTTTCCCTGGTACCACCCAGCACCAGCTCTCTGAAGTCTTGGAGAGTGGTGGAGAGAAGACAAGCCCAGCCCCAAACAGCGTCCTTGAGGCAGCAGGCAGGCCAGTCTGTTAGCACAAACTCTATCCTGTGCCTGCCCTAGCTGCCGTGAAGAGTAACGAGGAGCTTACAGTAACCTGTTTTCCATTAGCACCTGTTCCTCTCTCTCTCTTTTCCTCAACTGTGCCCTTCTCTCAGTTTTCTCTGCCTCTCTCGTTTTCTTTCCTGAACATTGAGACTTTGCTTGGGATGCAAAGGTATTCTTTACAGCAAAAAGCATCCCTCTGGTGTATGTGGGCTGGACTCCTGTAAATTTGTTTTTGGTTTATGTTTTTGAAAAGGTAGTAGTGGCATTGTTTTAAAATACGGAACTGTAGTTCTGGAATCGAAAGACCAGAGGTTTGGGGTCGTTCTTCCCTCCTCTAGGTAGAGCAGAGAACTTTTAGGAAAGAACAGTTCAGTTGCTGTGGGCCAAATGCTTCCTTCATCTTCAAACCAAAGATGAAACTCCCATTCTTTCCTAACATTAGACACAGAGCAACTTTCCATCTGTTGTCTCGTCTCTACTGTTATAATAGTAAAAATTATTCTAAATACTTTTTAAAAGCGAAGTGTCCAAGGACTCCCAAAGGACTGTAAAGTATGCAAATGCCACCCAGAATAAGTCTACCGCATTTTACTCACAGTTTATTGGTAGCCTTAGAACTTACAAGGGCTTTCCCAGTACCCTGGGCCATGCCTGGAACCCAGATGAGGCTCAGCCACGGCTCCTCTTAGGGGCGGGAGAGAGATGGGACAGCTGGTGCATGAACGGGGGGTGGTACCATCTTTGTCCTGGGGATACACTGTCCTGTGATGTAGTGGGGGCCAGCAAGAGGGGACGTGGATTTCAGCGGTGTTTCTCCCATGTGCAGTGCATTTTCAAAGAACTGAGCTGTTTTTTTCCCTATCCATTCTTATAGTCTGTTCAAAGCTACAGATATATCTCTTCTGTTTTAAAATAAAACACCCTGAAGAAAGAATAAATACCACTCTCAACCTTTAAGACCTATTTGACACTGAGTTTAAAATATTTATTAATACCATTTGTACCCTCGCTGTACCCGAATGGATTCAAGGAAGCTTGCTCTATAAACATGTAATCAGAGCACTTCCTTAGGAAAACATTTTTAAAGGGCTAGATGATTCCTAGACATTTTAGCAAAGGTGTTTGGTTCAGAAATTGCTGTTTGCATAAAACATCGGGGAAAGCTAAACATACACTTGACATTACGACCCAGAAGTCACACTCGTGGACACTCCTCCCAGAGAAATGAAAATGTATGTCCACGTAACAACACGTACACAAGTGTTCACGGTAGCTGCGTGCGTAATAGCCAAAGACAAAAGACAACTCAGATGTTCTACCGTAGGGAAATGGTTAGACAGACTGTGGTATATCCATGCCGTGGACTATTATTCAGCTGGAAAAAAAGAGCAAACTGTTGAAATACACAACGACTGGGGGCAGATCTCAAGGACATTATGCTGTGTGGGGGGCAAAAAAAAGAAGGTGATCTCAAAGGTCCCATACTATAGAACTCCATTTATATAACAGGCTCAAAATGACAACATTGCTGGGATGGAGGATAGATGAGTAGTCAGGAGGACGGAGTTAGGGATGTGAGGATAGGAGGTAGCTCTGTGGGAGATCTTCCTAAAGTACTCTGTATCTTGCCGGGGTGAAGATCACAAAAGGGATATAAGGTGACACGGAATTATGCATTCATTGTACCAGTGTTCATTTCCTGGTTTTGATATTCCATTTATAGTAATATAAGATGTTGCCATCTGGGATGCAGGGGGAAAGTACGCTTTGTAACTTTTTGTGAGTCTGTGTTTCAGGATAGAAAGTTTTTTTTTAAAGAAGGAGGGTGGAGGCATTACATGGTGTGTAGATAAATTAGAATAAAAGACCAAAAAAACAACAAAAAAAGTGGAGACAGGAAGCTGTTACCCATAGTGGAAATAAGAAGGTTGCGTATGATGTTCTAGAAAAGAGAAATCTCCCCTTCTGTGCTTGGCCCAGTTCCTTGGGAAACCTTGCCTAGCATTCTCCCCATAAGAAATAGGAAAAGAGCAAGAAAATTTTGTTTACCTGTAAGTTTGTAAACAAAACAAATCCCTGCATCTCTGCCTTAGATAGGCAGTAAGGTTTCATTAAAACAAAACAACACAAAAGCTTTCATGTAAGCTAACACTCACACTGTTTCCTTCAATGTTTTTTATTTATCTTCACAAAGTTTAAAAGATCATTTAAGAACAATAATGACAATACACCTGGCTCTCCAATTCGCCGTCCTATTTATTTTACACACGCACACACACACACACACACACACACCCAATAAGGTGATAGCCTTTGTTTGGAAATCAACCCAACTTTGATCCTCGGTCTGTGGTTCAGCAGCCAGAGTAGCGTTCTGTCCGCAGTTTCGTAAATGAATGGTATATAAGCAGGAGAAGTGCCAATCTTGCTCCCTGATCCCTGACTCCTGGCGGTCCTGCAGCATGTGTGGGATAGCACTGGAAACGGGAGTTTATTACAAAGTAACGGAAGTTCCTTGCCGCGAAAACAACATTCCGATCAATTTACGAGTTTCTGCAAAACACTGTCAAGAAATAATTTCAGTTGTACATTAGCAAGAAAATAAGGGCTCTGTGTTCTTCCCCACGCATTTTGGAATTACTTGCTGGGTTTTGCTGGGATGCCTTGACTGCGAGAGTGAGACTCCCTTTAGTGGCAGAGACCTCACGGTCCCTTTCCTGGTCCTTGTCCATTCTCCCAGCTTCTCCCCCAGGGTGTGCCAGGCAAGGCGGCATTAGAGAGCGGCCCCATTTTTCCTCGGGAGCCACCACTGTGTCCTTTCTTCAAGGCTGTTTTTCCCACATGGAACCAGCTGGCTCCCCAGCCGACAGCCTCTGATACACACATGCCTCAAGGATGCATCACATATTTTGTCTGGAAACAAGAGGCACGCTTTTCCTTTGTAGGCACTTTCTTCTTTTGGTTGCAGTTTGAATGGCTGATCCTGGAGGGGTGGCTTTGGGATGAGATACGGTGTGCCCACTTGAACCCTTCCCAACATTTGTTTTTGGTAATGTGTACCGCACAAACAACTTAGAATAAAAGCGTGTCTTCATGATTTTTTTTTTTTCTTAACTGAAGAAGCCTGACTCAGTTCTCCGTGTTTTTGGTTGATTTTTTATCTTCACCAGCATGTACTGCATCCCTTGTGAAGGTCCTTGCCCCAAGGTCTGCGAGGAAGAAAAGAAGACAAAGACCATTGATTCTGTTACCTCTGCTCAGATGCTCCAAGGATGTACCATTTTCAAGGGCAATTTGCTCATTAATATTCGCCGAGGCAGTAAGTATCCCGTCCCCCCCTGGAAACAGGTGGCCGTCCCCCCCACCCCAAAAAGGTGGTGGGACCGCTTAGTTTTCTTTGATGGACTTGCTGTTCCTTCCCCTTCATGACTCACACCTGAAACCTGGGCCTGAAAAAAACAGCATGGGGCATAAGCCTCGTGCTCAATGTGTGTTTTTTCGAGTTTCCCTCAAAGATTAAAAAAAGAAAAAAGAAAAAACCAGATTGAAAGGCAGTCTATTTTGCAGCTCTTGGCTCGGTATTTATTCACGCCCAGGATCATGGCTCATCTTTCTGTGAGGCCCGTCTCACGCAGGAGATGCACATCCCAGCACACACCGGCCCCAGAAGAGGCTGGGGGATCAAAAGTGTCATTCAGCAGCCTCCAGCTGGAGCCAGAGCCACACGGCTTCAAGCCCAAAGAGGTCTGGTTACCTGGGAGGTGTTGAGGAGACTGTGCAAAGGGAAGAAGTTAATGATACCCCTTTAAAATTTTATTAAGTCCAAAGAGTGGTTAATCTCCAAATTTACTTTGGAGAGCAAAAATAAAATAAAATAAAAATGAAATACTAGGGTGTGTCATCCCGTATTTAAAGCTTCGATCCTCACCCCTGTAGGATCGCCGGCATTTGTAGTAGACGGCGTTCCTGGTGATTGCGTGTGTGCAAAAACATTACTCGTGGACTTATTCTGTGATCTTTTCACTTCTGAACTTTAACTGACAATGGCTTCCTAGATTTAAATTCTCCACCACTAGGACCACTCAGTCAAAGTATCTATGATAGTTTCATAATCTAGAATAAAAATCATAAGAAGACCTTGAGGCTGAAAGGAATTTTTTTTCCCCCTAAATCCTTTTGTGGAGAGATTTTTGCAGGTTGATTCGGGTGGGGTGGGAAATGGCTGATTGATTTATTCTGTGGATTTACTTCTCCTTAAGACTGTTTGGTGAGCGAGCCGAGCTCTTACAGCTTAGAGATGGCAGAAACACGTTTGCGCTCAGTCCTTTTGGATCATTTGGTTCTCCTCATTTTCCAGAACCCCTTTCAGCGTTCCACCACAGAAATAACTTTGCTTCCACGTGGCTAGAATTCTCTTACCCTCATGGTGTTCTACAGTTTTGTTCCTGGGGCACCTGGGTGGCTCAGTGGGTTAAGTGTCCCGACTCTCGATCCCAGCTCATGTCTGGATCTCAAGGTCATGAGTTTGAGCCTGGCGTTAGGCTCCTCACTGGGTGTGGGGCCTACTTAATAAATAAATAAATGAATGAATGAATGAATGAATGAATGATGAGGTTTTATTCCTTTTGTTCTTACTAGATTTCTTAATTTTTGAAAAGATGCCCTCATTCCTAGAACATACCCTTTAAGCACCTAAACCTCCTTTTTTTTTCTTTTAAATTTTCATATCCTGAAGGTAAGAATTTAATCCATGAATTAAATCCATGAAGGAGTGGAATTTAAGAAAGAATAAGTACATATTCATGCATGGTGATGAAATGTGTCTTCTGGTTTATGTCCAATGGAAGAAATCACCTGGATACAGGGGAATAAGACATCTCACTGGAAAGGGCATCCCCAGCCTCGACTCAAGACAGGCATCCATCCTACCCTGCATTTAAAGTTCAGGGTCTTTTTCTTGAAATATCCACCACAGGCAACTTCTGGTGTTTGTAACTTGAATTTCTCCTAGAAAACCATTAAACTGTACAGTAAGCATAGCCCCCAGCCCTCCAAGACAAGATCCTTATTGTTTTATTTTTATCAGTTCAAAGCAAAATAGAACCTCTCATTAAGCCTTCAACAAATCATGTGCAATAAAATCCCATTAGTTGGACCATACCCAACGGATTATAGTATTTATTGTAATTTTGGCATAAGTTGAACCAAAGTTGATGTTCCTTTTTTTTTTTTTTAAACTATGAGGAAAAGACAGGCTAAACAGGATGATGGGAAATATAGTGTGTATAGATTACGTTGTTTTCACACACATAGTAGTAGCAACTATTTCTCAAACCGTCCTCTCGTTACGAGAATCAGATGTGCGCATTATAGAAAACTCAGAAGCCCAGAAACGAATTTTGAAAAATCAACAGCAGATAACCTGGTATGTTAATATTTTGGTGTGTTTTCTCCCAGTCTTAGTAAGACGGACTCTTTAAATATAGATCCCTGTATCTTAGGAACTGGAAATGCAGCAAAGACAGTTCCTAATGAGACCGAGAAAATGTTGTTTATTCAGTCATGCCCTTGTACTGTGGAGGCAGTGCTGTCTGTTGACAGAGCGTATTAAAAGACGTTCCCTAGATTTGTCAGCCTTAGCTAATTGGCAGTCTGGTATTTATGATTTTAAATTTGGTTAATCAGCCTGGGAGCTACAGTACCCGGCCTTCTAGAAAGTCTCCTTCCCCTGCCTCGGAGGGGGGCCCTGTCCCAGGAGAGGTCGTTGAAAGTCAAGGCCAGGGAGGTACATTTTTGACAAGGATGGCGGGCCCTGTGCCAGCAACCTGAGTCTCTCAGAGGCACCAAGAATCGGCATGGAATCGTTCTCCTGACGTGTTGGCGAGAAACCGGGTGGGTCATCCTTGCACGACATGAACGCTCACTAACACGGCCCCCTCCTCTCACAGATAACATTGCCTCAGAACTGGAGAACTTCATGGGGCTCATTGAGGTGGTGACAGGCTACGTGAAGATCCGCCATTCTCACGCCTTGGTCTCCTTGTCCTTCCTAAAAAACCTTCGCCAGATCTTAGGAGAGGAGCAGCTCGAGGGGTAAGTGCTCCAGATTTCATGGGCTGATGTGCTCCTATTACAAACTAAGTCTCATGATTTCAAAACTCCACGTTACTAAGGTGAGGACTCTTTCTTATTACAAAGATGAAAGGAGGAAGCCAAGGGAAGGCCAGTGTCCCCTGCATGATGGCCCGTCCCCTCGGGCAGAGTCCCGTGCAGCCATGATTCTCCATCCTTGGGATATTGCTGTTCTGGAAAATGGCATTGTGACCTGTCGGTCAAGGGCTATGTATCTGATGTGACTGTGGAAAGAGCAGAAAGGGGTGCTTTGGGGGACCCTCTGTGCCAAGAACAACAGGAATGGGTCTCAGATGCTTAGCCCTCAGATGCTTAGCCCTCTGTCATCATTGACATGACTCTTATCCCCAGAATGCTATACTATGTAAAATCATTCCATCTTTTAAAATACAGGAGTGCCTGGGTGACTCAGTCAGTTGAGCATCTGACTCTTAATTTCAGCTCAGGTCGTGATCTTAGGGTCATAGGATAGAGCCCCGCATCAGGCTCCTCACTGAACACGGGTTCTGCTTGTCCCTCTCCCTCTGCTCCTCCCCATCCCCCTTCTCTCTCAAATAAGTAAATAAATAAAATCTTTAAAAAAAAAAAGGAAAAGAGAAGAAAATACAGTTGACCCTTGAACAACATGGTTTGAATTGTGCAGGTCTACTTAGACATAATTTGTTTTGGTTTGGTTTGGATAAATACAGTATAGGACTGTAAATGTATTTTCCTTATTTTTTTTTTAAATAATATTTTCTCCAGCTGACTTCACTATAAGAATGCGGTATATCATGCATATAACATACAAAATACACGTTAGTCAGCTGTTACTGTAAGACTTCTGGTCAGCAGTAGACTCTTAGTAGTTAAGTCTGGAGGATGTCAACAATTCTATGTCAGTTGGCGATTGTGCAGAGTGTCCCCACCCAAACCCCCACGTTATGGGGTAAACTGTATATTGGCACGGAAGAAATTTGGAGGAGTATGGATAGCTCATTTTGCTATAAAAGAAATCCTAATGGACAAAACTGTTTAACTGATGAGCCTGTCAGATTTGCACACTGGTAGAATTTTCGCCTTCTGCAGAGATGAGCTTCATGATAGGGGTTTTAAACTAACCAGAGGCTTTTCAGCGCAGGACAGGTAAGAGCTGGTGCTTGTTGCTATAGTTTCTGTCCAGCAGTTGTCCTCTGGGTACCTCGCGTATACACCTTTCTCTTCATGCTCCCTTTAAATACAGCTCTTGTCTGGCTTTAAGCTTTCAAATAAAAGCAGACATCCATTAATGAGCGAATTCCTTCCAAAGAGAATTTGGGGAAATAATTTAGGAAAGAAACAGGTGGGAAGGTCATGGGAAAGGTTGTCCTTGCTGATTTATCTTCCCCGACTCGGTAAAGTTACCCCATAAGGGTTTCTTTACAGTCTCCCTCCTTTTCTCAGACTAACTCTTGGTCAGTCTCAAATTCTTAAAATTTCCTCCTCTGATACAGCTAAAGAGTGAGGACAGCTCTTCATTCCCTCCTTGAAAAGCACGCTGTCCTCCCCACCGGGAACACTGATTCTCTAGGAAGAAAATTTCTTTCTCCTTGCAGCTCTGGGGAGGCTGCCACCATGCCCAGCCCCCGAGTATCGCAAATCACTTAACATGGATGGCATGCTGGGGCTCTGCATTTTGAGGTGCTGGTTCTCGTTTGTTGTATTAAAATTTTAAAGTGGATGTTAGCATGGTTTTTCTTCCCCTCTCTCTCCAGGTAGGTTTGTTTCTGGAATCCCTCGTGTTGGAAAACACCTTTTTTGGGCTGGGGGGAGCAGGTCAGGATCTGCAACTTCTCCTGCTGCTTAACAATACACTTTTTCTTTTTCCAGGCTGAACAAGTGATAGACATAGAGGGGAAAACTGGAAGGAGAATTTAAAATTTTTTTAAAGATTTTATTTATTTATTTGAGAGAAATAGAGGGGAAGGGAGGAGCAGAGGGGGAGGGAGAGAAAAAGGGAGAGAATCTCCAGCAGACTCCGCATTGAACCCAGAGCCCACATCAGGGCTCGATCTCGCAACCCTGAGATCATAACCTGAGCTGAAACCAAGAATCCCATGCTTCGACTGAGCCACCCAGGCACCCCAAGACTTTAATTTTTATGAAGAATTATTACATGATGGGATTACCTTTTAGCCTTGTGTTAACTGAAAGTATTACGCCCTTCTATGGAGCTGAGAACTAAGACAGGACTTTTATTTGCATGGATATTTAACGTACATTTCTCATCATCTGAAACTTGTATAAAACCGGATGTCCCAATTGGGAACACTTTAAGGATGCCTGCCATTGCTCAGGTGTTTGGAACTTCTCCAAGCTCAAGTACACTCCAAGCTCCTTCCGTGCCGTGAACATTTTAGATGACCAGGGAGGGCAAATGGGCCTTAGGTTTTCATACCCTGCTGCTGATCAGGGGGCCCTGCAGCACTGAGGATACTGTCCTGCCAGCCTATCCCTCCTACATGCTCTATGTTTAGCTGGGGTGCTGGAGAATCTTGCTTGTCTGGATGGGAGTTGGGTTCTCTCACCTCCCTTCCTTACCCAGGATTAAAAGAGGTAAAGGCCATTCTCACTTGTGATGAACGCCCCCACAGTTCTTTGGATCGGAGGTGACCAGTAGCAACAACTCCGTTCTTTATTGTGCATCCTCAGACTCAGGAAAGACACTAAGTCCCAGCCCTTGACCAGCTCTCCTCACTCCTGCAAGGAGGGAAGAGTCAGAGAGAAGCAGAGAAGAAAGGAATAAGATAGATTCATGCCAACAACAATGCAAAGCAGAACTTGCAGGGAGCTACGAGGGAAAGAAAAGGAATGTGCCATGGGCATGAAGAAGAGGCAGAGAATCTGATTAAGAAGATCCCACAGAGGGCGCCTGGGTGGCTCAGTGGGTTAAGCATCTGCCTTCCGCTCAGGTCATGATCTCAGGGTTCTGGGATTGAGCCCCGCATCGCATCGGGCTCTCTGCTCAGCGGGGAGCCTGCTTCCTCCTCTCTCTGCCTGCCTCTCTGCCTACTTGTGATCTCTCCCTCTCTCTCTCTGTCAAATAAATAAAATCTTTAAAAAAAAAAAAAAAATCCCACAGGCTTTCAAGAAGAGGTAGCATTTGAGATGGGCCTTGAAGGGTTTCCAGAAACACTCAGAAAGTGGAGCGTGGAGAAGGCAGTTCAGGATAAAGCAGTCAGAGCAAAGGCAGCGAGTTGGGGCGTCCTGGGACCTGTTTGGCAAATAATGCTGGAGAGGTAAGTGGTATTAGAATTACGTAAGGTGTTATGCACCCGGGTGTGGAGGTTATAATTTAGGTAGGCAATGGAATGCAGTCAAGGCTTTTGAGCTGCAGGAGTGTTAACAAAGCCACCTGGACATTTCATTTCTGTGAGTCTTTGGTTTAAGCCAAGATAACTTTTATCCCAGTGGTTCCCAGACTTTGACGTTAGAACCATCTTGGGTGGGGCTAGGTTTAAAAAAAAAAAAAGAAAAAAAAGTCCTAATAACCCAAAATGCACTCCCAGTTCAGTCAGAATGTCTGGGGGCAGGATCCAGGCATCACTGATTTTTCTTAAAAATCTAAAGTAGTTTCACTGTGTAGCTGAGATTAAATACCACTGCTGTGTCCTGTTATTTCTTCTTCTTGTATGTGAATCCCCAAAGCTCTTTGCCTTTTTTCCTAGATATTTAATTGTCACACCATTGCCTTTAATTACTATTTTTCTTGATCTTCTACAGGCAGTGAAAACGTAAGTTAGTGCCTCCGTTTGGTTCAGTAGGATGGGAGTCTTAGAGCATTTTGGTTTTCTGTTTTTTTTTTTTTTAAGATTTTATTTATTTATTTGTCAGAAAGAGAGAGAGAGAAGCAGGAAGAGAGGCAGGCAGAGGCGGAGAGAGAGGCAGGCTCCTGCTGAGCAAGGAGCCCAATGCGGGACTCAATCCCAGGACCCGGGGATCATGACCTGAGCCGAAGGCAGCGGCTTAACCCACTGAGCCACCCAGGCATCCCGAGCATTTTGTTTTGATGGGGAATTCAGAGTGCTAGGTTCCTTGGCATCTGACCACCTTGGCTTTCCAAACTGGAATTGGGACCTGCCTCCAAGTCCCCTGAGCAGCCCAGACCCCTGAGTCACGTCCAGAGCATGACATTTAAGCACTATAGCTAGAGTAGAGCTCTAGTCTATATCCAGAGCAAGCCGACTTCGTAATCGAATTTCCAGGGTGGTGAAAGAGGTAGGCAGAATCACCTTCCAACGTTCCAGTGGCTGGAGAATGGGCCCCAGACGGCATCAGGCGGTCATCAGTTTGTCCCTAAGAACTAAGACATCTGGGTTCCCTAGAGGATGTCACTCAGTCTGTGTAATGTGATGTGTTTCTAGAGTAATAACCTTAGACATTAAGAAAATCCAGGTTTTTCTGCTGTTTAAGAAGGAAGTGGATTTTGTAACACACATGTATAAGATTTCTAGAAAATGACTCATTTTTAAGCCCTTGAATAGAAAACTGGATATTTATGTTATCTGGACTGTTCCTTGAGGTGAACAACCTCGAAGTGAACCCTTCTTAGGGAATGAGACAAAGAAAGAGGTAAAATTTCGGATTCTTTGGTACCACCAAGAATCATTGCCCCAAAAAGCCTAAAAGCAGATGGAGGTAATAGGGTTCTAAGACTAGAAATTCTTGGGTACATTTGGGCATCTCTACGCTCATGACCCCAGCCCTTGACTTTGCAACACTTGGTGCTTCATTCTACCTTCCTGCAACTCTAAGATTATGTTGCAACAGAGCTGCGTGTTAATACTTCCCTGGGACTTTTAAAAAGACTCAACCATGTGACTCAGCATTTCCAGGCTCTACCCAATCTCTTCCCAAGAGAAATGAAAACATGCCCACGCAAGACTTGAATGTGAATGTTCATAACAATATTATTCACTTGAGCCCCCTCCTGCTCCCCCCCCAAAAAAACCCCACAGGAAACAATCCATATATCCATCAACAGATGAATGGATAAACAAAATGGAGTGCGATGGAATAGTACTGTGACAATGATATAACAACACAGGTGAACCTCAGAAATGTTAAGCTAAGTGAAAAAAAAAAAAAAAAACCAACACAAAGGGCTACACATAGTATGATTCCATTAGTTTCTAGCGAAAGCAGGACTACGGAGACAGAAAGCAGATTGGCGAGGCTGGGGGCAGGAGTAGAGCCTGACCACCATTGCAGCGAGGGAACCTTGACATCGTGGAAGTGTTCAGAAACTGCATAGTGGTGCTGGTGGGACAGCTGGATGTATTTACTGAAGCTCGTTGCTCTGTATCCTCAGGGTGGGTACAATTTTTGGTAGGTAAATTATACCTCGGTTAAGCTATTTGGAAAACCCTCAAAGAGGAAACATTTTCTGAGTTTCTCTTTGGTACCTGGTGCCACTTGAATGTAAATCCCCAGCCTTGCCGAACCCCCAAGGTTGGTGTAAATATTGGATTTGAAGGAGATTGGACGTGGTGTGAGCATCTGCGAAAAAGCCAAATCCTGGATCTGTTGCAGATTTATAGGATGCTGGAGACAGCCCTGTGTGCTGGGTTCTGATGCCCCCTAGGGACAGCCGGAAAGAGTCCATGCTTTCTCCTCTGAGAAGCGAAAGGGAATCATCAGTTGTGTTATTTGCAGATTTTTTTTTTTCCGGTTTGTTAGTAAGGACTGAAGGGGAGTGAGGTGAAGGGGTTGGGATATCCCTTCCTACCCCCATCTTCTGGACTCCCAGCCTTCCACTACCACTGCTCCTGGGCTGGGAGAAGCCAAATAAATATGTTGTCTAGCGTTGTTGCTTTAGTAAGTGGTGGAGATGTCACTCAGACCCTTTGATCTTTGGATTCTCAAAAACGATGCTCCAAACCCCAACTCTGGGGTCGTCTTCTATGCACCGTGCCAATCCCCAGCACTTTCGCTTTCCTCTGCTTCCACATCCTTCCTGCCCTTCATCAGAGCAGGTGGGGAGGTGGGTGGTTGTTGATAAATCAGAGGTAAGACAACCCCAAGCCTGGAGTCATCCATAAAACACCTCCGCGTATAGTGTACCATAGGCATCCAGAAGATCCACACAGATATCCTCACGGAAATGACCGACAGCTTTCAACTTACCTCAGTTGGTCTACCTCCTATCAGACGCCTCCTCCCCCAACCCAAGTACAGGAACAAACATCTTTTGCCTCACTAAGAAGGCTGGGAGTCAATACCAAGGTCTGTAAAAGCCAGGCATCTGTGTAAGCTACAGAAAAAATAAACAAGTTAATTTTTAAAATATTTTCTGAATGTAAAGGCAGGAAGTTTAGGAACAATTAGGAAATCACATTTACTGAGCAACTGACTTGTATAGTCATTTCCTTTAGGAGACAATGAGAAGGGGTGTGTGTGTGTGTGTGTGTGTGTGTGTGTGTGTGTGTAAAATGTTCAGACAGGTCTCTGCCTTTTGCCATCTCTTAACTGTCACCTGATCATGGAAGGGGAATTTGGGGGGAGCTAGGCCCCAGCCCAGGGTTGGAAAAGCAAGAACAGTATTGACAGGCAGCTCATGAATGGCTTGGTTATTATTCTGATGAGAGTTTTATTTTTGTTTTTCTGTCGCTCACAGAGGCTCCATAACGCCTGGGTTTTATTGATACTGGTATCCTGGCTCCAGGCCTTCTCAGTGTTGTAAAAAAAAAATGTTTGTGTTTACTGTAAAAAGATAATCTTCCTTTTCAAAGTGATTAATCACACACACAGAATTTCAGTGGGCCTGCCATTCATTTGTCAAATTCCTGATTTATAATTCATGCTTCCTCCCATGGGAAGAAGCATGTTTTGTTCAGGAGGTATTTTCAGTGCAGTTTCTGATCCCTGCCAGCAAGATCCATCTACTAAAAAGAAGCCTCGTTCTGTGTTGAGACAGAGGTTTGACCAGGTTAATGCCTTTCCTTCCGGCCTAGAGGTTTCTGCACTGACAAGGAGGTTTCGTCCCACGGGAGCCAGCTGAGGAAGCTGGGAGCAGCCAGACCTTGGTACTGGCACTACAGAGTGTCCTTGAGAGCTGGACTTATTCGTGGACAAGAATGGGCCTGCCTAGGAGGCCTCTGGTTTCTACCTGCAAACCCCACCTTCAGTCATCTGACGACCCAATCACCCAGCATCAGCGACAGCCTGGCACTGGGGGAGCAAGGAGATGTGGGTGGCGACTGTCCCCAAGGGATGGCAGGTCTCACCTTGCCATGTCCCAGCGCTTCCCGCCTGCATACCTGGGCTTGTGTTGCATATCCCAAGTAGATTCATGTCGACAGTGTCTGAGGCTCCTTTTCCAGTGAATGTATGTGTCAGGGAGTGAGCTCTTCCTGAGAGGAAAGTATCTGTCAACTCAAGTTTTTGCCACCTGCTTTGGTGGCCTTGAATGTGTCCAGCCAGGGTGGGTCAGTGAGAAGACTCATGTGGTTTCAGAGGTGCTGCCCTTGGACTCCCTCTGCCCACTGAACCATGTGCAGGCAGGGCTCCCACTCCCACCCCCTACACGTCTGTGCACGGGGCCCAGTGCCTCTGGAGGGCTTGGGCTCAGGCTGATGGGACAGAGTCCCCCTCAGCTCTGTGACTCCTCTCGGGCATTAGGGTTTTAGACTCGTAAGACAAACAGGGAGCTCAGGTGCTCATAAACCTTGTTGTCCTGTGAGTGTGTGTTCGTGCCCCTGTCCCTCCAAGAAAACTGGCTGGATGGCTACAGAGAGCACTGAGGGAACTGCCTATGGCTACGTGGCTCATTAATGACCTTTGCAGTCCTGGACCCTCGTCTTTGAACTCCCTGGTGAGTTCCCAGGCAGGTGTCACGAGTCCGCTAGGCCTTATTAGAACCATAACTTCTGCTTTCTTCTTAATGAGACTCAGGCTGGGGTTGACCGAGTGGGTAGAGGTGCTGGTGTGATACGTGCAAGGAAACCCATCAGGCCCCATGGACACAGCCTCTGGGACAGAGGAGTGCTCTGGACTTCTGCCCCGGCTCTCCTGGCTTTGGAAAGTGGGCCATCCTCTCTTCTCTGCAGCTTGTGTGTTGAATCGTTCAGTGGATGTTAACAGTAGCTCAGAGTGCTACACCCATTCCTAGACTCCGTTCTGCATGAAGTGCTTGAGTGAGCTCCTGAAAGCCTGAGGCTGGGGACCGGGAGGGGGACAGGAAGGATTCAAGGTCTGTGGGGAGTAGACCTTTCATCACAGAGGACTTGGATGGGCAGGATGGTCCTGCCTACCTAGAGAAAGAGGTATACAGCCTGGATCTTTCTCCAGACCCCCCAGCTGTAGCTGTCTATGCTCCCACCCCCAGAGGATGGATTTCTCTCTGGGCAGCCGGAGATCGCTGTTGCAGATTCTGGCCATCCTTCCGTCTATCCTTCAGTCAACAGGTGGAGCTTCTGCTTCTGCTTCTGCTTCTGTGTCCTCCCCGCCTAGGGGCAGGACCGTATCTCACTTGGTCAGCTTGTTGCTGACCAACAGCCCCTTGTTGGTGCCCAACACCTGTTAGCCCGGTGCCCCTCCAAGTGTGATCCCAGTACCAGCAGTGCTAGCATCACCTGGGTGCAGGTTAGCAATGCAGATTCCTGGCCCAGCCAGCCCTACTAATGAGAAACTCTGGGAAGGGGGCCCAGCCATCCAAAAACAAGCCTTGTGCACACTAACCTGGGAGTGTTGGTCACTGAGTCACTGCTGCCTGGATTGGGGTGGGGGGGCGCAAGGGCACTGCCCAAAGGGGGCTCTCTTCCCCCATCTTCTCTAGGGACTGTGGTTGAAGCTTTTTAGGATGGGGTGAATCTGGAGGAGGGAGCTGGCCCAGGGCTGGTCCACCACCGGGTCTGTATCCCTGCCCCGTTCCCTCTCCTAGCCCACCATAGGCCGCGGATGACACAGATGGGATTTACCCCCAAGGATAACAGCAGACTCTCTAGCAAATATGTAAGCCGTTCCGGTTGAGTAGCCGAGCATATCTGTTCTCCCATGGACTGATTTCAAGTTCGTTATACATACTCTGCTCCGAGAGAAATACCCAAAGGCATTTCTCCGGAATGATTCCAGTAATATCCTCTGGTGTGAGAGGCATTATTTGTTGGTAATAGAGGTCCTAAAATTAATTAGTGTCTTATCGATTTCAATATGCTGTCCTTGAGTCATGCTGTTGCTATTGTTAACATTAACTGTCCACTCTCACACACTGTTAATAACTGAATCTCTTTTTGGCAAAGGCAGCGTGTTCTGGAGCCCCGTGCCAAGGAGGACCGGCGTGGGGTGACCAGCAGGCGGGCAGGGGCACTGGGAAAGGGCTGGAGCACTCACGGGCATTTCTGTGCTTCCAGGAACTACTCCTTCTATGTCCTCGACAACCAGAACTTGCAGCAGCTGTGGGACTGGGACCATCGCAACCTGACCATCAAAGCTGGGAAGATGTACTTTGCTTTCAATCCCAAATTGTGCGTGTCCGAGATTTACCGCATGGAGGAGGTGACGGGGACGAAAGGACGCCAGAGCAAAGGAGACATAAACACCAGGAACAACGGAGAGCGAGCGTCCTGTGAGTGGCCCCAGCAGCTGTGACAAAGTCAGCCCCTCTGCTGATCTGCAGCGATGGCTAGCTCTGTGGGTGGCACCCCCCTTGCCTCACTCGGGGCGGGGGGCGGGGAGAGGACACGGGGTCTCCTGAGCCAGCACTTTGCTCCGATGTGTGCGTATCTTCAGAGTCAGTAGTGGGGCCGATTCATGATAGATTCTTACTTGTCAGTGTCCCTTAGCATCTCTAGGAGTGTGCTGAACATTTAGAAATGGGCTCCTGCTCAAAGGGAGTATTTTACGGAAGTGCCTTACATGGACCCCTGGGTGGCTCTGTCGGTTTAGCCGCTGCCTTTGGCTCAGGTCATGATCCCAGGGTCCTGGGATTGAATCCCGTGTCAGGCTCCCTGCTCAACGGGGAGCCTGCTTCTCCCTCTGCCTCTGCCCCTTCCGCTGCTCATGCGTGCTCTCTCTCTCTCTCTCTGATAAAAAAAAATAAAATCTTTAAAAAAAAAAAGAAGAAGTGCTTACAGAATGTAGGGTTAAATGTCTTTTAAGGCATAGGTAGACAGATCATTTTTCAAGGAAGAGCTAGTCCTCTCCATTGCTGGGGAGCACACTCGGCTCAGTCTCCCCCAGTGTAGAGGAAGCCTCAGGGCAGAGGGGACTGAGCTCCAAGCCCAGCATGGTGGCCATGGGTTCCCTGTCTCTCTCTTGGCCTCCTCCTCACTCCCACCCCAACACGGAAAGGATAGAGAGAGCCCACCTCGATGAACGGATGCCGCTTTTTAAATTGAGAACCACATAATTATAACCTTGCCATGGTTATATATACGTTCAGCTCTTGTATCTGAGATCTAACAGCACGTCTCTCCTCTAACCCTGTTTATCAAGCCGTTTTTTAAAATGTTGTGGTTCTGTTTGGCTGGAGAGGGTTATAAAAGTAAATTCTCTCTCTGCCATCAGCTTTTAATAAGGGAAGGGTACTAGGAAAAAAAAAATAGAGTAATTTACATGATCAGAGGCGATTTGCTCACATGTACACCCACACACACACACACACACACACACACACACACACACACACACGGGAGGGGAGGCGTTGTGAAACCATTAGCATTTGACTGATTCGTTTTGCTGGTGTCTGGATTTACCTGGTAGACACGCAGATTGCTCTGGAGGAAGAGGGAAGAAGCCTGACACGAAGCTGCCTGGTGTGTTGGCAGCTGGCACTTTCTCCCTCACCCGCCCGCAGCAGCCCCTTCCGGTCCCCTTGTTCGGACCAGGGCAGGGCTGATGTGGCTGAGCATTTCCCAAGCATTTTCTCGGCCCAGTCAGCCAGTCTGATCTGTAGGACTGTGAATACAGTAGCCGTTACTTCCTTTGAAAACAAAATCATGTTTTCTCCTTAAATAACACATTAGCAGGAGCTACAGCTTAGTTCTAACCTCAGACCAGCATGTTTTGCCCCGCTGACTTCTTAGTTTTGACCGCCGTTAGCCTGTGCTTCACCCGCTGAGTGCGCGTCGGGATTCAGGCAAATAGAGGCAGACAAGGACAGTCGGTCAGGGAGCTTCTGGTCTCCGTGAGGGGAAGCAGTCAGCAACTCTGCCCTGGTTCTTGAGGGTCATTTGAATCTGGACAGAAGAACAAGTCGGGGCTCAGGGCAAGATCCCCGCTGTAGCTCTCCAGCGACTTCCCCTGGCGCATGGGCAGCTTGGCCAATGACATTGTCCTTGTCGGTGTGTCAGCCCCAGCCGGAGGTCTTCCAGGGGTGTCTGTATTCTTCCAGGTTAATGCCAAGTTTAGACACAGAAAAGTGTCCCCCCCCCCAGTGGCACACCGGGTCATTGGCGTGACTTTGCCAGTTGCACAGAACGAGGGGGATCACAACCCCTGGATGGGTGCCAGCATATCACAGAAGATCAAGGTCCCCCCAGGAGCCCGGGGCCTTAGGGATCCACTGAAAGACCAGGTGACTTGCTCAATCAAGCAGTTCCTCCCTGTCAGGTTAGGAATCACAGATTCACGTCCAAATGCGACCAGTTGTGCTGAAACAAAGGCGCGAGCTTTGTTGCAGCTCCGTGTGGTAAAATGTCTGGGTTCTCAGTAGAAATGAGAGCCACTGAGAAGTCCGGGAAAGGGCTTGACGTGCACAGCCAGCTTTGGAGAAGGGGGAGACAGGGCGGGGCAGGTGACTTGTCAGACGGGTGGAGGAAAAGGGTGTTGATATCTGTCACAGATGTACCTTTGTGCCCCAGGTGAAAGCGACATCCTGCACTTCACCTCTACGACCACGTGGAAGAACCGCATCATCATAACGTGGCACCGTTACCGGCCCCCTGACTACAGGGACCTCATCAGCTTCACCGTCTACTACAAGGAAGCGTGAGTTTCTGCGCTTGGTGGGGTCCTGTGGGCGTGGCCGTGGGCGGGGAAGGCGGAGCTTCATCCTCACCTTCTCTCTCAGCTGTCACAGGATATCCATCACCATGGTGACGACCACAACATCACTGTGTTAGCATGAGGCCTCCCGTTTTTTCAGTGGGTAATTTAGAGGGGTTTGAATAAAATAATTGCAAAGAGAAAAGCTTGTGTTTTAGAGAATTAGGTTAAGTCCCAACGTTCATGAAGTGGGATAGAGGATGTGTCCACTGACCCATACTCCAGGAACACCCTGTGGGATGCTCAGCTCCCTGGAGGGGACCCCAGAGAGATATATCACGTTATTCCATGAGCCCTTCCCAAGACCTGGTCCTCTGCTCTAGGTCATGAACTAGGGAGGGAAAATGGAGAGAGACTGACCTCTGTGTTCTGAATATTTCATGATCTATCCCAAAATCTGCTGGGGGCTTTTCTCGTGCCTTCCGGGTATATTTACCTGCCTCGGTAGCTGTGACTTATTCCTCCAGATGGCAGCTCTTTTGGTCTCCCTCTTCCTTCCTTTGCCTCCTTAGCCAGGTGGTACCACCAGCCTCCCTAGTCACCCTCCTTATCCAGCTCCCACTGTGATATCATAGGTCTCCTTCCCCAGTGACTGGCTTCCTCAGCACTGGAACCAGAGCTGCCAAGGACAGTATCTGGTCCTCTTTCCCCCGGGGTCATAGCTGTGAAAAAAGCGGGTCTCCGGATTATTAGGTGTTCAGTGTGTTTATGGATGGGAGTCATTCATGGTCTTCCGTCGTGAGGACGGGGAAAGGTAGGTTAACCTCTGTTTCAGAAGCCAGGGTGCAGGGGCTGTCCAGCCCTTTCATCTGATAGCTGGAGAACCCCTCCCCACCCAAGCATGTGTGCAAAGTACTCTCTTCTCTTTGATAGTTCCCCCAGTGCTTTGGCATGTCAGCTGATAATCTCACCAAGGAGCTGGTGCTAGTTTCCGAGACAATCCAGAAACTAAATATTTGAATATTATCAGATACTAAACAATCACAATTGTTTGTAAGCAAATGAGATTTTGGAATTTCTATTTTAGAAGCTCTTTTTTCTGTAGCAAAAGTCCTTTTCCCCCCAAAGTTTTATTCTTCATCGGTAGCTGATGTTTGCATGAAATGATTATGCTTGTTTTTTCTTAATGGTGAAAAATGCCATGATTGGAAGAGAGAAAATGAGCCTTTGCCTGCATGCTTAAGGAGCAGTGTTTTCCATCCCAGTAACAATCAGAATTTACTCTTCCTGGGACAGGGTATGCCATTCTATGGTGCGTTTGTAAATGTGGAACCTGGGGTCCATTTTATTTTATTCTTCGAAACAAATCCAACGGACTTTCTGTTTTATTTAGAATTCCTGTTATAGAAAGTGTGACATACTAGGCCTCTAGGGAAGATTTCAGTGAGCTTTGATGTCAGAGACATAAACCTTCCTCTGACCTTCATCTCCTGTCTTCCTAGACCTTTTAAAAACGTCACGGAGTATGACGGGCAGGATGCCTGTGGCTCCAACAGCTGGAACATGGTAGATGTGGACCTCCCTCCCAACAAGGATGTTGAGCCTGGCATTTTACTGCAAGGACTAAAGCCCTGGACGCAGTACGCGGTGTATGTCAAGGCGGTGACCCTCACCATGGTGGAGAACGACCACATCCGCGGGGCCAAGAGTGAAATCTTGTACATTCGCACCAATGCTTCAGGTAGCCACACAGCACCCATTCCGTATTTTTCATGAGCTCACCGTGCTTACTACAAGATGTCTCGATCCTGGACGAGTCTGTCTTGTATGTGTTTCTTATCAATATCTAGTGCTCTATCATATTATTTTTTTCCCAGTCCCAATACCCTAAGCTCTTCCGGGCCATCTTTCTGGCCCATCTTCCATCATCTGCCTGCTCTGTGCCAGTGAGCCCAGGTCCTCCTGCTGGGCTGGGGTAGTTTGTTTGGAGGACCCAGCCAGGATTCAACCCACTATTTTATTTTCATAGTTGAACCTCCAGAAACTGAACACATGCTGATTTGGTGTTCCAGTTACCTCACGCGGCTCATGGGTTTTCCATCTACATTCTGTAGAGGCAAGGGTTCCAAGGAGGTAGACGGAATTTGGAAAGCGTCAGACAGAGTATACTGTGGACATTCCAGAAATTCGCTGATGAAAATGTTCCTCCTTCTGTCTCTGTCTTCATTTTCTAAACCACCTCATTTTTCTCAACTCCAGAATCTGGAACTAATGAAAGCAAACGTTTGTGTCTATTAGCCAAGTATATGAAAACCAGCTTAGAGGTAGGAAAATGGACATCATTTCTAAATGCAATGATAAATATCCTTGGACGGTGGCTGTTTTATAAAACACCCATAAGGTAGCACGAAATAAATTTAAATAGCAGAGAGGGTGAGGAAGAAGTGTTGGTGGGGAAAACCCTTGGCTCACACGTGCCTCATTCCCCCTCCCTCCTCCCCTGCCCCATCTGAAGGATTCCATAAGTGGTCACAATCATGTCACGGGCCCTGAAGTGTTTATAGAAATAAATCTGGCACAGATTTCTGATTCTGGGTGTGGGATGCTGTAACAGAGGCTCAAAGGCAACAAAACAAGTTATTCTTCTAGGTTTGGAAGTAATTTATTGTACCCAGCTCAGGAAAAACAACATTTTTTCTTATTATGACAAGTTCTTTTTTTTTTTTTTTTAATCCATTCACTTACTTTAGAGAGTGAGTGAGTAGGGGGAGGGACAGAGAGAGAGGAGAGAGAAGATCCTCAAGCAGACTCCCCACCAAACACAGAACCCAATGTGGGGTTCGATCCCAGGACCCCAAGACCATGACCTGAGCCAAAATCCAGAGTCAGCCACCCAACTGACTAAGCCACCCATATGCCCCTTATTATATGACAAATTCTTAAGAAACCGATTTCCTTTCCCCAAAGATGGGAAACTAAGCACCATAGGAACTGGGCCAGTTCCCTACATCTTGACCCCTGTCCTTACAAGTGGTAGAGACAGAGGAAGACTTGGTCCTCTGCCTCTGCTTTTTTGGTGACCCTTACAGTTGAAACATCTGGGGTGTGCTGTTTATTCTTGAAATACTTGACTTTGGAAACCTGAAAGTGGTCGAGCATCCAGTGGTTATGTTTTTCCTGAAAAAGCTGGCGTTAGTCACAGCTTTTCCCTAAAGCGCCACTCCGTATAGGTGTTCAGAACCTTGTCTATGATATTATGGGCCTTAAAGTACCCTTAAGCTCCTTGTCCCTTTGAAATTTTAAAAAGTAGCTTGGATGACAATGTTGTTTAAGTGATAGACAGTAAAGAGGTCTCTTGAACTTTGGAAAACCCCCGAAAATCAGTGTTTTCTTGGGAACCCAAGGAAAATAAGATTTCAGCGGTCCTGGGGTGTGTTTGCCCTTTATACATGAGGCGGCTCTGGGTTTCGGTTTGAGAGGCAGTAGCACATAAAGCTTGACCAGATGATTACACTTTGCCTATAAATGAATATTCTTTGGCTGGTAACAGAGGCCATTGCCTAAAGTTGGGGCTCTCTGTGTGTTTGGGTTTTGGACTGCTTTCCCTTGTCCTATCTCATTTATCCCACGGAAGTGAGGTTATTGAACTGAGAGACTCTGGGGCACCTGGGTGGCTCAGTGGGTTAAAGCCTCTGCCTTCGGCTCAGGTCATGATCTCAGGGTCCTGGGATCGAGGCCCGAGTCAGGCTCTCTGCTCAGTGGGGAGCCTGCTTCCCCCTTTCTCTTTGCCTACCTCTCTGCCTACTTGTGATCTGTGTCTGTCAAATGAATAAATTAAAAAAAAAAACAAACAAAAAACGAGAGACTTGCAGGTCCTCGTCTTCCACGCCTCTTACACACCCCATGCACACACGCGTGTGTGCACACACACTCGCACCCTTTCTCACTCCCCCCTTTCATTTTGGCATCTTGCCACTTTTATCAGAGCTCCAGAACCTCAAATGAAACCCAAATCAGTCCTTTCCACCACTTGCTAGAACTGCTGGAGTCTGACGATTTGGAGACTGGTGGTTGGACTGGTGTTGGAATTAGCTGTAGGTTTTTAAGTCACCCACCTGTAACCCTGGCGGGTCCCCCACCCCCAACCTTTCTCCACGGGCTTCTCCGTCCTGTTTTCACAGAGATGATCTGAGAGTAGATAGTACAAAGAGAAATGCGGGCGCTTAAATTAATGCAGTTTCAAAAGAAGGTTTCCTTATCGATTTGTGTGTCCGGGTCAAACCCATGGCTTCTTGTAGGCTTATAGTGGTTCAGTGATCTAGTGACCACCTGGATTCAGGGTGCGTTCCATTTTCTGAAATGGCCTGTGTTCCCCTTTCCAGTTCCTTCCATTCCCCTGGACGTTCTCTCCGCGTCCAACTCCTCTTCCCAGCTCATCGTGAAGTGGAACCCGCCGTCCTTGCCCAACGGCAACCTCAGTTACTACATCGTGAGGTGGCAACGGCAGCCCCAGGACAGCTACCTTTACCGGCACAATTACTGCTCCAAAGGTAAGGTGGGGGTTGCCCAAGGCGGGGGGGAGGCTGTGGACCTGGAACCGAACTCCCGTAGTCTGGAGTATCCGTGCTCCGACGTACCACATAGCCCCTGACAGTTCGAGCCCGTCCTCAGAGACTGGTCACGTTCTGGATTAAGCGTGCTGACGGCTGCCCCCTTCTGCCCACCGGCCCACCAGACTTAGCCTTCATGTCTGCTCTTGTCGGGCTCCTCTTTCCCGAGCAGACAAAATCCCCATCAGGAAGTACGCCGATGGCACCATCGACGTCGAGGAGGTGACGGAGAATCCCAAGACTGAGGTGTGCGGCGGAGAGAAGGGGCCTTGCTGCGCCTGCCCCAAAACGGAGGCCGAGAAGCAGGCCGAGAAGGAGGAGGCCGAGTACCGCAAAGTCTTTGAGAACTTCCTGCACAACTCCATCTTTGTGCCCAGGTACCTGGTGTCATTTGAAAATGTCTCCGGGCTGACGCTCCTCAGACAGGCTCTGTGGTGCGCTCCCCACGCAGGGGATCTGTGAGGTCAGCAGCCCCGGGGCAGAACCCTGTAGCCATCGAGGGGGGAACAACAGAACAACAAGAATAATCCATCAGCTTGGGTGAGTGGGTGCCTGGGGAAGGCAGTTAGCGCCGAAGGAAAGGGGGAGCAAGGGATTGTGCCACTGGGGGCCACGGGCACGTCAATGCCACTGCCTCAGCCACAAGGCCTCCTGTGGAGGGCAGGTGGGTTCTCAGCTGCGGGGACAGGAAGTGAAGCTCAGAGAGGCCCCCACCCATGGAGACCAGCAAATGGACCATGGAGAGCCGAGAGGGCCCTTCTGGCACATCCCACTTCTCCCTGCGGCCTCTCAAAGTCCGGCGGAGGAGAAGCGAAGCAAGAGGGAGAAAACCAGAGTGAGTTTTGAAAGTGGCCCAGCCCCCAGACACAACCAGATGCCACAGACATCTGTGACAAGCAGGTTTGCGAAGCTGCGGAGAGGACGGCCTTTCGAGGCAATGCAGCCCCTGTCCCCAGGAATCTCTGCTGCCCTGCTTCAGTCCCCGGGTCTGCCAAGTGGGGACAAAAATGGAGGGAGGTAGAGGTGCAAAGCTGCACTTGTCACAGCAGCCAAAGTTGGTAACAACCCACGTGCCCAGGAGTGGATGAATAGATAAGCAAAATACGGTCTAGCCTCACAATGGCATATTATCCAGCCATAAAAAGGAATGTGATTCTGACGAAGGGCACCGCTGGGATTGACCTTGAAAACATTACACTAAGTGAAAGAAGCCAGATGTGAAAGGAACAGATATGGTAGAAGTCCTTACCTGTAGAAGCCTCACCAGAGGCAAATTCATGGTGACGGAAAGTGCATTCAGGTTTCCAGGGGGCCCAAGGAGAAGAGGGAGATGGGGAGTTGGGCTTTAATGGGTCTAAGAGCTTCTGTTTGAGGTGATGGAAACTTCTGGAAACAGTGGTAATAATGATTGTACAGAATCATGAATGCAATCAGTGTCTGAACAGTATGCTTAAAAATGGCTAAAATGGCAAGATTTGGGTATTTTTTTGTTCAAAAATTTTATCTTACCACAATAAGAAATGGTTTAAAAGACAAAAGCATGTGGGGCGCTTGGGTGGCTCAGTGGGTTAAGCCTCTGCCTTCAGCTCAGGTCATGATCTCAGGGTCCTGGGATTGAGTCCTGCATTGGAGACTCTGCTTGGTAGGGAGCCTGCTTCTCCCTCCCCCTCTGCCTGCCTCTCTGCCTACTTGTGATCTCTCTCTCTCTCTCTCAATCTCTCTCTCTGTCAAATAAATAAATAAAATCTTAAAACACACACACACACACAAAACAAAAACATGGAGGGGAGTCCAGCAAGGTAGGCCTGCCATGTCTGGGGAAGGAGATGGAAAGAGAGTGGTGGTTGGTTCTCGTATCCCTTTTCCTCCTGAGAGATCACAGTGCAATGTTTACAAACTGCCCCTTGCCTGAGATGTGAGCAGAGGACCTGGATCCACTTGCACCTATGCACTTCCGGTCCCCACGGCAGCCCCACCACCAGCCCACCGCCCAGCATGTTCTGTGATCACTGTTCCTCATGCCCCCGATCATGAGAGGCACCAGAAGCCTGTAACTTCAGTTTATTCTGTAATGCCCTGGCCCTTAAAGGCTTACTTGGGTTGTAACAACAAATGGCTTTTAATGTGATTTTTTTTTTCCCCGTCGAGTGACTTTCCTGATATTTGTGTAATATTCCAAGATACCCATTTGACTTTGAAAAATCGTTAAGAAAGACGACTTAGAGTGGCGGGCATTCTTTTCAGAACAAAGTTTCTCATTGCTTCATGCCTTTCTGCCCCTCCTCTCCTCTCTAGAAGTTGAAACCCCTGACCTGTGAAGGTAGGAGAGCCTTCTGTGGGTCCCCCTGACTTGCTCCGCCCAAGATCTCTCCCCCCGCGGCTGCGTTCAAGTGCAATCCCGATTGTCTGCAGGTCATGTGTACTTCCAAGAATGTTGGAGGAGCTCAAAGAGGTTTAAAAGCTAGAATTCAGGCTTAGTGACTTCTCCAACAGTTTAATTACTGAGCGATCCATTTGGCACTTAGCCTTACATTTTGACACATTAGGGCCTTTGCCCTTTGGTGGCGTGGCTGCTCAACGTGGGCCGCTTCCCCCCTGTGCCGGCAGGAGCGCGGCTACTGGCACTTCCAGCGGACGCAAAGCAGATGGGCTGGAGTTGTCTGTTTATTCCCTAGCAGAAGCCATCGGTCCCATTGCTGTCCCATCCCACCGGCCCGCTAGAAGTTCAGGTTGTGAGCCCTGGCTTTGGAGAAGTTTTGCCAAAGGGCCCCAAGCTTTCAGTCTGCAGCCACAAAGCAGTGCCTTTCTTTCCCGTCAGTGGGGAACGCAAGATCGGGCAATGCGAAGGCAGAGCTGTCGACGCAGATATTAGTAATGCCCGTGTTCGTGTTGCCGAATTCAAAATAAGTTTCCTCTATGCCAAACTCCCCCTGACGGATGCTCACCTCCGCCCATTTGGCCCTGACACTGTCTCTCGTAAGACAAGTCTGACCTGCTATTTTGTCTTTTCATAGGATGACCATAAATACTGTATTTGCCCACAGTGAGAGGCCACGATGTATACATACTTTGAATTGTTTTTTTTTTTTTAATGCCTCCTACCAAGGATATAAATCTCATGTCCACACAATTTGCAAAAATTTTGATCGAAGGAATGTCTAGTTGGCAGAATGATTGAATCATAAAGGAAGGTTTTCTGTTTTACAACTATACTATCCAAAGACAACTTTTCTTTCTTTCAATTCATTCTTTTTTTTTTTTTTAAAGAATTTAATTTTTCTCAGAGAGAGAAAGATAGTGTCAGAGATTTCAAATGAGAGAACTTGAGTGGGGAGGAGAGGGAAAGGGAGAAGCAGGCTCCCTGCCAAGCAGGGAGCCCGAAGCAGGGCTCGGTCCCAGGACCCTGAGATCATGACCTGAGCCGAAAGCAGACGCTTAACTGACTGAGCCACCCAGGCGCCCCTCTTTCCCTTGATTCTAAGAATAAGCCAGTCAAGTCAGGTTTGGTATGTTACATGTTGTCCAGCGTGTCCCATGTGGTTTAAAGTAGATTGGAAGCTGGAGCTTGTTAAGTTGCTTTCTGGAGTCCATATCTGGTGGTGAATGCCTTTTATTTGACCACGGCCTTTATTTTTTAAATCACATAGTTGGGTTTAAGTAACTGAAATGTTGACAGATGTTGAAGACTGCAGGGTTTTCCAACAGAGTAAGTTGGGTCATGGAGTGGGAGTGGGGAAAGCCGACAGTGATCCTTGCTGTCGGTCACACCATTTGGAAATGTGGCTGTTTACAAAGAATCATGGGTGTGCCATTCTGCTTGCCTCATACCTTGTCTTCCTGATAATGTCCCGTGTGGCCTCCCTCCCCCTAGTCCCTAACTTGGTGTCGCTAGTAACAGCTATAATCCCAGGTAAATGGGGATGGGTTGTGGGAGGGGTTTGGGCAGAGTATTAATTTGCAGTGGATTAAACCCAAGCCACTTCTCTCTCATAGACACGAGGATGTGTTGTGTTGGTTTTATGGGTGGCGTTGGTTTTGAAGAGAAAGCAGGACATTCGTTCTGGTAGATTTCAGAAAAGGGTTCCCTAGCCATAAATGTAGTTCTTTGTGTCCTTCCCTTTCGGGAAGATTGGTTGGTGTGTAAAGTGTGAGGATGGGAACTGGTCAGCCTCCTCTCCTAATCTTTCCTTCCCCGATATCATGAAAGCGAACGCAGTGAGGCCATCAGCGCACGGCCTGACCCTGCAGTTCTCTATCTGGTGGGATGAGCATATCTGGGTTGATGTTTTAGGTTAGGACCCACTGGGTCACTGCACAAAAGCGGTGATGGCATTTTCTGCAGGGGAATCCATGGGCCAGGCAGACTGGGGAGCCAGAGGCCCTTTCCCCCAAGCTCCCCACTTTTCCCTTCCAAGTTTTTCACTTCAAGGCAGATCAGGACCCACTGGAAACCTGCTGAGTGTCAGCTGAGCCCCAAGCTGGCCCACTTCTCAGGTGCCCTGATTCCCCATGGGACTTCTCCCTCTCCCCTGCGTGAGAACTGAGGAGCATTCCCACTTTCTGATCTTTCTCCTTGCCTTGGGCCCTTGGTTTTCTTTCCCAGAGGAGCTTTGTTCTGGGACCCTTCGCTTATGCACGGGAGGAGTGAGGCCCACGGACAGCCTCAGTGTAGAACCGACAGCAGCCTGCTTCCCGCTGTTGCTGGCAGATGGCCTGCGGGTGACTGACTGTTCCTTGTCTGGGTACTTACTCTCATGTTCTGTTGCTGTTGCTTCTTATAAATGCGAGGGGCTTATTTTTAAGGTTTCTGAGGGGAGCCCAAAGCCCTTGTTTCCATATCCCACAACAGCAGCCATTGGAACAGTCACCCTCACCAGCTGCGTGGATCGCCTCTTCTGCCCTTTGGGTGCGAACGTTCTCTTTTGATTTCTCTTTTGCTGTCCTATTGCTTTTGTAGCTATTGTTCTGAGCCCCAGTCCAGGCCTTGAGCGGCTCTACCCCTGTCAACAGCAGGGCCTGGGAGAGGCCACAGGAGGTCGCTGCTGAGTGGGAGGCAAGTCAGAGTGGAAAGACCTCCAGGAGTGTGAAAAATCCAGACACTGGGGTCTCAGAGAAAGACAGGGTCAGAGGAAGCCCCAAAGGGAAGGGTGTGGGGGTCCACGTAGGTGCTTGCTGCTTGGTATCTTTCTTTCCACAAAAGGGGGTCAGCGAAGCCATCCTCTGGGACCTGTACCACACAGCTCAGCTCTCAACTCACCCCCTAATAAATCTTCGTGTGGCCAGCAGGTTGGTCACATTCAATGCTCAACCATAAGGCTGGTGGACCGGGTAGCATGGACATTCTGACCAAAGGGCCAGGAGGCTGCAGACCCAGAAGTGACTGAGGCATTTCTTTGCCTCTAGATACAATCGAGTCACCACTCTGGGGGCCAGAGAGCAGTTTGTGTGCCGATTCTGAGGCTTGCAGAGTAGAGAAAGCAAAATAACGAAGAAGGAAATCCCCGTATTATTTGTTGGTTCTTATCCAAAAGGGCTGAATAGCTCCTTTCATCCAAATTTAGGATTTTTTCTTTTCTTTCCGTTACTCTCACCCAAGTCATAGAAAGGACAAAAGAGGTAGAGGCACTTACAAGCCAAATTTTTTCTCTTCCTTGCAGACCTGAAAGGAAGCGGAGAGATGTCACACAAGTCACCAACACCACCATGTCCAGCCGAGGCAGGAACACCACAGTGGTAGACACCTATAATATCACAGACCCAGAAGAGCTCGAGACAGAATACCCTTTCTTTGAGAGCAGAGTGGATAACAAGGAGAGAACTGTAATCTCCAACCTGCGGCCTTTCACTTTGTACCGCATTGACATCCACAGCTGTAACCATGAGGCTGAGAAGCTGGGCTGCAGCGCCTCCAACTTTGTTTTTGCAAGAACCATGCCTGCAGGTAGGGTGTGATCCAGTGAACCCCACTCCTGACTCACTCACAGCCCAGTGGAGAAGCTTGTGTTTTATGGACACAGAATCTGTCACCCAGAGCAATGAACCTTAGTCTCTGTCCTGCTTATTAGAGAATGCATGGTTATTCGTGGCAGCATGGTAAACCAGCAGCCCAGGGAATGGAGTCCCTTCATAGTGACATCATTTCCAACCCATTCTTGGCACAAAGTCCTACAAGAGCAGGGCTTGCCCTTCAGGGTCAACTCCCCTCCTCCCACTTCGTTCACATTGTACATTCCCATGGCCCTAGTCCCCATTTGTGCACACATAAATTTGCCCAGTCCCTCCTGAGTCGTCAGGTTCCGTGGAATCTGTTAGCTGCCTTGACTCAGGGTGACCTTTGTTCCTCAAGGTCAACTGCTGGAGTAGCCGTTGGTCCTGCCTCTTGGGTCTTCACCTTCCCCTTGGAAGTTAAAAGCTGTCTGTTGTTCACATTGCCAACCATCCATGTTTAAGGATGGGGGAACTGCCCATTCTCTTTCCTGCCCGGGGTTAGCGGCTAACAGAGGAGCCCAGAAGTGGAGTCTAGGAGAAGGGCCTTCCAGGACACCATTCCGGCACTGACTCATGGCATGTCTCAGGGCCGCTGTCAGCTCCCTGGCCTCAGTTTCCCCACCTTCTGGGAGAGACAGAAGAGCCTTCCCCGGCTGTAACTTGCAGAAACTCCAGCTCACTGCCCGGCTTACTGCTTTAAGCAGCAGCAAGAGCATGAGCCCCTGGCCTCAGCGAGCCGTGGCTGGAGGAAGGGTGGACGGAGGCCCAGCTCGGGGGCTGTCCTTCACGCCCGCATCAAGGTTGTGTTTGCCGCATGTAAATACAGACCTGGAAAGCTCTGTGTCGCCGCCTGGAGGCTTGTGGCTACCGTCTCCGCTCACAAGGAGCCTTTTTGATGCTGCTTGTGCTTGAGGCATCACACAGTTTCCCTTCTCGAGGGGTAGAAGCCAAAAACCAGAAATAAGTTACTCAGGCTGCCGGGGGATTCCAGCTGTACTTGACAGAGCAGGCTTTTTTGCAGGGGAGGATGGGTTGCTGAGGGGGAGCAAGGATGTCCTGAGACCCATCACTAGAGCTTGGCTTCCAAACCCCGTGCTACGTGTGAGCAGCCGGCTGTAGGGCAGTCTGTGCGGTCCCCATCCTCAGCCCTGCACACACGGACTGGGGAGGGTGTGCTCAGGGTAGCCCACCCCAGCGGGGTAGGACCCGAGTCTGACTTTCTCGCTTGTTTAAATTGTCATGCAGAAGGGGCAGATGACATTCCTGGGCCGGTGACCTGGGAGTCGAGGCCTGAAAACTCCATCTTTCTTAAGTGGCCAGAACCTGAGAATCCCAACGGACTGATTCTCATGTATGAAATAAAATATGGATCACAAGTCGAGGTAAGACTGGCTCAGTGTCCCCATCAACTGATGGCATGCACTGGCGGGACAGGACAGACCGCCTCCCGGTTAGTGGAGGACTTAACCCCAGAAAATGAGGAACTGAGTCAGTAAAGACTTAAGTCTTTCCACGAGCCCCACAGTCTCTGAGGACAGTACTCAGAGTATATGAGGAGGGGTGCTGGTTCTCCCCCATAAGAAACGACTTTGTTACAGAAAATGATCTTTCCGCATAAGCTAGATTGTCCTTAAGAACTTTTCACCTTTGTGGGGCTCTTTTTGATTACCAAAAAAACAGAGATCTGTTTGGTTAGAACTTGGGTGCGTTTACAGTTACTGGAAGACGGCCATTCAACGTTCACTTCCTTCCCTGTATTAATGCAAATCGGGATCAGTGTCGGGGGGGGGGGGGGGGGGGGGGGGGGCAGCAAGAGGCACCCATTTCTCACAGGCTTGTGGGGAATTGGCACTTGTGTTCTGTTCCCCCCAGGACCAGCGGGAGTGCGTATCAAGACAGGAGTACAGGAAGTATGGGGGTGCCAAGCTTAACCGGCTCAACCCGGGGAACTACACGGCCCGGATCCAGGCCACCTCTCTCTCCGGGAATGGGTCCTGGACAGACCCGGTGTTCTTCTACGTCCCAGCCAAAAGTAAGGCTTGGAGAAGCAGTAACTGGAAAACACGAAAGTGGGTTGGGCCAGGATTGGGAAAGCCTGGGCTGTCGGGGCACTCTCTGCCTTTCTGATTTTCCACTGGAATGGAGTTGGCCAGATTTCAGAAGGGTCACACTTCTGCCAGCTCCTCCTTTGGGAGCTCGAGCACGGGGAGCTGCTGCTTGGAGTTCCCAGCTCATTTGATGGGCGGGGAAAGGGTCTGAGCCCCTTTTGAGGGTTAGCGATCAGCAAGAGGCCTTTGCTCTCGAAATGTTTTACGTGGGAAGCATTTTACAAAGCCCTGAATTGCCCAGTCCAACTCTTGTCCAATTTGGGCTGCTGGTTAAGGCTCAGGCTTGGGGCTTAGAATCCCAAGGGGTGACCGAAACCTGGGGGCCATCCGGTCCAGCCTGTTCCAGGGTAAGAGTCTTTGTGGCAGCGTCTCAGACTAAGGCCTTATCCCCTTCACTGCCTGTCCGTAAAAATACAGATGTACTTTTAAAGCACCTGCACGCATGGAAAGCACACAGCGTGATTTTATGCTCAAGCCGTTGACAAGACAGAATTTTTAGAAGGCCGTACTAGGCAAGGCTTTCAGGTTTGAAAACTGAGTTTTGTAACATGTGTCAGTACACCATGGCCTTGTGCTTGCTGGGCTGAGAAAACACAGTATTTTATTTGGTGACACAAATATTCCTCATTATTTCCACGTTGAGTTTCCATTTCTTATTAGGAACCCAGTTTTTCAGATGATTTCATGTTCAGATTATGAGATCTAGTTTGGCCGGACACTGTTCCTCACTGTCCCACTTGAAAGAGCAGCCCACCGTGCTGACTGGTGCTACTTTTGGGTTCAGTGGGTGGTCCTCACATCTGTGGTCCCTCCCGGTGTCCGCATCTGGGCTGCCCTGATCTAGCGTCTCCGTTTTTAAATTCAGGATTCAACCAATCCAGCTGTCCGCCTGGTTAGTACCTAAGAGTCAGAGAGAGGTGTTTGAAAATCCTAATAGTACAGATATCCAAAGAAGAACAGTGTGCATAGGACCACACCTTGAAGTAGCATTTGATGGCCTGGCACTGTGCCTGAGTTCTGGTTTTAGGGGTAAACTGACAGCTTCAGCAGATGATTCCATCAGCTCAAAGAGTCTGAATTCTCCATGGGGCCCACTAACCTGCTCTCCCCAGCAAGCCTCTGCCACCCAGTCCAGGGCTAGAACCTTCCCAGTGATGCCTAGAACCCTCTCCAGAGCTGTGGCTGGCTTTCTCTTCTCCCCTTTTCTCTCTTCTCTGCATTAATCCCTTAGGAACAGAGCCTAGGCTTAGGGGTGTAGCATCAGGCCGCACTCTTTGAAATAGCTGACTTGTCTTCTCTTCGGAGAGGATACGTTCCCCTCTGCCATTGCTACCCTGTCTTTAACCCTGGCAGTACTGGGATGCCACTGGGAACCCCGAGAGCCCCTCTGATGGACTCCTTCCAGCAGAAGTTGGCACGTACTGCAGGAAATGAAATCTGCATGCCTGCTTTGCTGTTTGTCCTTATGTCAGACAAGACTCTCCTGCTACCGCACAGTCTCTTTTCCTCTTGTTTAATCCTCAGAGGAGACAGAAGCTTTGCAAGCTTTCTGGCAACCACTGTCCTTTTAGGAACCCTTCATGTGCTTGAATGCTATTAAATGACTCTTCAGACTTTCCTTCTCCAGACTAAATAATCTCCAGTCTCTTGGCCTTTTCTTGTTGCCCAGTCGCAGAGACCAATTTTCTAGCCATTTCATCATTGTGCTCCTCTCCGGCTGTGTTCCAGTTTCTCCGTGTCCCCACTGAAATGTGAAACTCAGAACACGGTACAACCTGACCAGTAGGCTAAGTGATACAAATGTAAGAAGTCGTCCTCAGGAGGAAAAACTAAAACTTGGCTGGTTTCCCAACGGCAGTGATAATTTGAGAGTGTTTTCAAGAATTAGAAAGTGCAGGAGATCCATCCACGTTGAGAGTGATCTGATGAAAATGTCCTTAATTTAAAAAATCAAAATAGCATTAATAATCCATAAAGAGTCATAATAGTGGTGATGATTTTTAGTGGCAAAATAATCACTGATATGTGACTTTTACTAGGTGTCCCTGGGTCCCCAGTGAGTTCCAGCATTTCCACATAGACCTCTCTACTTGGGTGGTCCCATGAGCGCCTCCCACTCCCATGAGTACCAGAACTGAAATCATGATTGCTGCCCTCTGAGTATCTCTCTGTCCTTTTGTTCCCAAGGTCAGTCAGTGGCACCATGATCCACGCCCCACGCAAGCCTGGAACCTTACATCCTTCTCTCTCTCTCTCTCTCTCTCTCTCTCTCTCTCTCTCCAGCCACCCATTTCCCATTCAACCCCCAGTCCCATTGATTCTACCTCTTCTGTGTCCCTGAAATCCAGCCCCTTCTGCCACCACCACTGCCTCCTCTCACAGTCTGCAGAGTGCTTGCCGTGGGAGGCAGATCTGAGCTGTGGGGGCAGGAACGGTCCTGGGACCATGGCTTCCCAGCTGCCCGTGTGACCCTGGGGAGGACCGTCCATCTCTGTGAGTCTTCTTCCTTGGTAGCCAAGGAGCACTGGTCTCTTTGTGAGGTCTGGGCTAGATAATGCAGAACACAGCCAGGTCCCCTCCTGCCCTCTAGCACCCTCCAAGATGTGGCCATGCCTCCTCCATGCCACCAGCACCCCCACAGACTGTCCTCCAGCACCACTGTCCCAACATACACAAATGTGCTGGGTTCACTGTGGGGCCCAAGAGCTCACACTGGCTCCCTTTCATCTGCAGAATGAGGTTCAAACTGCTTGGGTTGAACAGGCCCATTGGGAGCCAACCCTGCTTCTCCCCAGTATCATCTCCAACCATTCCTCTGCGCTTGGAAAGCTTCCCCGACTCCCTTCTCTCCTCTGCCTTCCTCTCCGTGTCCTTGCAACGTGGGCATCCTTGCAAAATGTGGGCAGTCCACCTTTTTGGTGTTGGTGCTCCCTGGGAACACAGTGACTTCCCGAATCCAGCAGAGTCTTTAAGGGTGCGCAGCAGCGTCCCAGGTGCCCATCTGTCACCTGAGTGCTGGTGACAAGGATGAGCAGGTGTGGCGGTCAGGCTTGTAACTATACCTGAATGTTTGGGGAGAATTCAGAACAACTTTGGCCAGGGGTGCCATACGGTTAGGTGTTTTTAAATCATCTCTGGAGCTTTCTTAAGACAGATAAAGGTCAACAGAGCGTACTAGGACACCAGTTTCATACCAAACAGATTAAATAATACATTTATGATCTAAATACAAGGGTCAGTATCACTTGGGCTCTAAATATGTAAGAATCCATTCCTTTTATTTTTGCAAATGTGTGTGAGTGTGTGTGTGTGTGTGTGTGTGTGTGTATGTATGTGTATCCACTAGTAGTCATTAAATTGCACACGAAGATGACTTTACCTGACCTACCACGTGAACTATTATGTCAGGGTACACTGTACTTTAAAAATGAGTTACTCCTCTGTGTGTACTCATTTTATCTTTTTTTTTTTTTTCTTTCCCCTGAATAACTCAGAGTGTTTTGCTGTTCTATCTGATACTGTTTACCTTCAGAATTCCTAGTCTGCGATAGGGCAGTAAAGAAATTTTGGGGGGATTTTTTTTCTCATACTTGCTGCTAAAACAAAAGAAAGCAAACAAAAAACGACCCAGCCTGTGCACCCCGTGATATTTTTGTCATTTCCCTTGTTTCTGCAGTAACGTACGAAAACTTCATCCACCTGATCATCGCTCTGCCCGTCGCTGTCCTGCTGATAGTGGGGGGACTTGTTATAATGCTGTACGTCTTCCACAGGAAAAGGTGAGTGACTCCCGGGGAAGCTCGGACACCTTAGGTGGCTGCGTGTTCTGGTGAGAGGACCCCAAGGGCAGGGAAACGTCTTAAGGATCTCGAGGGAATATTTTACGGAACGGGTGACCCGATTTTCCCGTCAGAGGTTCCTCGCAGGAAAAAGAAAACATTTTCTAAGGACTCAGCAACAACAGAAAATGTATTTGGGGCCGGTATGGTTCATCCCTTCGCTCACGTATCCCGCTGCTCACATATGCGGAGATTTTTCTAAACCCAGTGTCCAGCCTCTTCTGGCCAGTAGGCCTTCCCGTTTCTGATGAAGTGAAGAAACCAGTGTTTCCTTAAAAGCTTTAACCCGAGGGTCCTGAAGAAGCCCAAGGACAGGTTAGCAAGATGGCTTTGGGGCCCAATGGCAGAGTGTAGGTGAGAGCGGCAGGCAGGAATTACCCGCACCCCCTTCCTCTGGATGCCCCTCACGAAACAGGACAGAGAGAACTGAGAGCGCCAAGATGACACACGCGGAGATGGGGTTTTTTAACCTGAATTTTATCCCTTTGACAGGAATAACAGCAGGCTGGGCAATGGAGTGCTGTATGCTTCTGTGAACCCAGAGTATTTCAGCGCCGCCGATGGTAAGCAGCTAAGCCAGGGTCCCTACCTGGGGACGTCCCAGATTGGGGAGCTTTCGGGAGTGTGGCTAACGTAGGGCAAAGAGGTTTGCATTATTTTGAGGTAACTTTGGCCTCAGAATACATCTTGGTTAACACTTTTTTTGGTTTGTTTGTTTTTTTTAATCAAAGTTTCTAGCAAGTTCACGGAGTATGTCAAAAATTCTGGGACCATGCAGAATGCCCCAAAGAAAAACAGGCTTCAGAGATGACTGGTCAGCGAGGTAGTCCATTTACTTAATTGCCTGAAATTTTATGCTAGAATGACAAAAGCCATTTTAATTGTTGACATCTAGTCGGAGGGTATGCCGCAGCTGACCAAACAGTCCTCTTAAACTGGTTTCAGCTTGAGTTTCATATCGCTGGGACTGTCTTTGATCACTCACGGCCTCCCTGCATTTTTTTGTCTCAGAGTTTTTCTGTTCACCCCCTCCTGACCGGAATCGCAGGATTTCTTTCCTCACGGCCCCTTTACAGACCCCCGGGTCATAGCTCATGAGGGCCATTTAGTCCAGCGAGTGAGAAGGTTTGACTTGGAAGCTGGGTTGTCCCCCATGGGTATTTCTCTTCCTTGTTTGCTGTCTCTTCTCCCTCGGGGGCTTGAACCCAGACCTTTCAAAGTCAGTCAGCGCGGGGCATTGGTCCGGGGGTCCAGCGACAGTAGCACCATAACCTGGCACTTTGCAGGGGGCTTTTATGAATGCCGCCCCATTTGGTCCCTACATCTGCGTTAGGTGGCTGTTCTTGGGCCCACCTGTGCAGAGGTGAGGCAGGGAGGTTCGGGGCAGAGGCTTGCCCGGGTCACGTCGTGAGGCAGTTGAGAAGTCAGGGTGACGCAGCCCCTGGGGTCCTGTCAACAGCATGATGCAGTCACAGTGGAAAAGGACAGTGAGGTCCTCGGGGCGGGCGGGGAAGCTGACCGGCAGGAGAAGCCGGGTTGGGTTTATGGAGTGAGTAAGTGCGTGAAACCAGGTGGATGCATTTCGAAAAACCATTTGCCTCTTGGCTTCAGTTGAAGTGAAAGCAGATGTAGATGTGGGGGAGATAGGACACAGATTCATGGTTCTGCTGATTGATTGTCCTGATCAGATGGAAAACATAAGAAAAACACGTAGATACTCTAAAGCACTATATAAAGTCTCACTGTGATTTCTTTAATAACTTCTAATTCAGTTCCGCTTATAGTAAAGCCAGTCAAAAGCAGCCTCCCCAGGGGCACCTGGGTGGCTCAGTGGACTAAGCCTCTGCCTTCGGCTCCGGTCATGATCTCAGGGTCCAGGGATCGAGCCCCACATCGGGCTCTCTGCTCAGCAGGGAGACTGCTTCCCCCTCTTTCTCTGCCTGCCTCTCTGCCCACTTGTGATCTCTGTCAAATAAATAAATAAATAAAATCTTAAAAAAAAAAAAAAAACGAAAAACAAAAAACAAGCAGCCTCCCGGAGTAGGAATCAAGTGCTGAATAATTCCTGAATCTATAAAGATCTCACAAAGTTTTATTTTTAATAGGTATATATATGTATATTTGTGTGTACATATTCATACACACACCTCTGTACTCATGTATATAATGCATAGAGAACATTCTGGAAGGATACGCACCAAACTTAAAATAGTAGTTACTTGTGGAGAGGATCTTTTTCTTCATTAAAAAAATCAAAGGATTTTTATGCATTGTTTGTTTTTATATGAATGATAGCTTTATAAAAAATATATAAGATAAGGAGTCATCACACCCTTAATCATGTTCTTAATGGAATTATCATCACACCCTTAATAGAATTGATGGGGGAAGCCATTTTCCCTCTTTGTAAAGGTGGACTAAGACTCTTCCAGAGACTTTGCTCTGCTTTGAAATAAAGCTCAGGAGACTGGCATTTGTAGCTTTGACTACGAAGCATCCGGGAAGTTTGGAAAGAGCATTAATACAGCAATATCAGACAGTAACGGTGATTGGAATTCAAAATGTGTATCTTCCCACAACTACTTTCATAATAGGCCTTGATTCTTCTTTAAAAATAAACAAAACGCAAACTCTCTGTCGCCCTGGCCAACGGGTAGGAACACCGTCACCTCATTTGAACTTAATTTCTTTGGCCTTTCACAAGCACCTCATAGCTCCTTTCCTCAAGGGGCGACAAAAGGACATTGCCCTTCGCAAGGGCTTTCAAAACTCCTTTCTCCAAAAGCTAATCTGCATGTCCCCGTTCGCCTGAGGACACCGAAAATCCCCTTGAGGGAAATGCTGATAACATTGTGCACAGAACCAGCGGCTGGCAGGCTGGGGGGCTGGCGGGGCTTAGGACAAAGTGTCTCTTTATACTTTCGGAGGGATGTTGTGACGAGTCTTCCCTACCTGCTCGTCTGGCGGACTTACTCTCCTAAGCAGGCATCAGCCCCTCCTGGGGGTTGTGTGGCACCGAAGCCGTACAGAGAGTAGACTTCCGCTTCTGAAATTCCAAAACACACATGTAGTATGAAATTCACCAAAAGTGTGTATGAGAGAAAATTCTAGACTAACATAGGCTCAGTGGGACCCTCCTCCGAGGTGTCTAATTTAGTTTTTAACCTGCCCATTCCACTTGCAGGATGGAGCTTCTGTTTTGTTTTCTTTTCTGTCTTACCTCCCTTCTCCCTTTTCCTCTTTCTTTCTCATTCCTTCCTGCCTGCCTGGAATTACTTATTTAATTCCTTACACCAGACTGACCGAAAGCCTGGGCTGGAGAAGTCCTAGTCGGGCTCAGTCTTAGCATGTCCCACCTCCCAGCCCCTTACCACCCCCTCTCTGGTTATGGGAGGTCCCTGAGTTCACGGAGCTCAGGCCAGAGCCCTGATGAGACCCCACTGCTCATCAGCTGCTCCCCCAACTCACCACTGCCCCCCAACTCACCATTCACTACTCCCTGGTGCCAGAGCTCAGCCACTTCTGTACCCCTATAGACAAAGCCCCCAGGGTCTTTGGTGAGGCTGGACACACTTGCCTAGAAAAGAACAGTGCTACCAGTGGAAATATAATGCCAGTCCCACGTGTAACCTCAAGTTTTTCTAGTGGCCATTTAAAAAAAAAGTAGGGGCACCTGGGTGACTCAGTGGGTTAAGCCTCTGCCTTCAGCTCAGGTTATGATCTCAGGGTCCTGGGATCGAGCCCCACATGGGGTTTCTCTGCTCAGCACGGAGCCCACTCCCCCCGCCCCCGCCTGCCACTCTGCCTACTTGTGATTTCTGTCTGTCAAATAAATAAAATCTTTTTAAAAAATAAATTAATTAATTAAAAAATGTAAAAGAAACAGGTGAAATAAGTATTAACAATAGGCTTTCTTTAACCCAATGTATGCAAAATATTATCAATTTTAATATGTAATCAGCCCCAAAACTATTGAAATATTTACATGATTTTTTGTGCTAAGTCTTTGTGGGCTTTTCTGTTTTTTTCAAGTTTTACTTATTTAAGTCATCTCTCCACCCAACGTGGGGCTCACATTCACGACCCCGAGATCAGGAGTCACACGCTCCCCCCGCTAAGCCCGCGGGGCACCCCCAAGTCTTTGTACCTGTTGTGAATCCTGAAGTTGGCACATCTCAAATTGGACTCCTCTGTGGTTCTTCTGGGCTCCTTGAAGACTTGAAATACCTGTATTTGACCGTATAGCTGCCTCACAGAGATTTCAGGACGAACCGCGTCGTGGTTCCCTGATGTCCTCTGTGGGCTTTAGGGAGTGGCATCTCGCGTCCTTCGGTTTCCCCCCAAAAGCATGTTCTGCTCCGGAGCCCCTCGCCTGACCTGGCTTGGTTCTGGTTTCTTCTTCTCTAGTGTACGTGCCTGACGAGTGGGAGGTCGCTCGAGAGAAGATCACCATGAGCCGCGAGCTGGGGCAGGGCTCCTTTGGGATGGTGTACGAAGGAGTCGCCAAAGGCGTGGTTAAAGATGAGCCCGAAACCAGGGTGGCCATTAAAACAGTGAACGAGGCTGCCAGCATGCGCGAAAGGATTGAATTTCTCAATGAGGCTTCAGTGATGAAGGAGTTCAACTGTCACCACGTGGTAAGAGACAGCCCTGAGGAGCCAGAACCTGACACAGGGAAAACCTCCCTGAGAGTCCCCTGCCCCTGGACTCCCTTAGGGGGTTTGATGTCTCCTCCCCCACCACCTTCCAGAGTCCCCCATCACCTCATGGTGGCCCTTAGACGTCTGTGCATGGGAGGCGGACCCTGGGGCCTGCTCATCTGGGCTCTGCAGTGCCGGCGGCGTGGGTGGGGACCGTGGTGGGCCACCCTCACCCTCTGAGCCCTTCTCTTTTGTCCTTCCTCCCAGGTGCGGTTGCTGGGTGTGGTGTCCCAGGGCCAGCCGACGCTGGTCATCATGGAACTGATGACGCGGGGGGATCTCAAAAGCTATCTCAGGTCTCTGAGGCCAGAAATAGAGGTCAGTTTTGGTTTTAACCGACTTCGACATTACCCGTCCTCTTTTGACGCCTTCCCCCAGGAGACACGGTGTCTTTAGATCTACCGACTTTCAGCATCCAATGTTTCTTGCTGCACGCTTGGTCCTTAGTGAGAATGATTTCCCTGACTAGAGGGAGACTGTGAGCTTTGGTGGGAGGCACTTGGACTTCCTCAGATACCGCTTTACCTAACCCCTCTGTGTATCTGCTCCTGCATTCCCTCCACCGCTCGTTACCCCCCGCACCACCGGCGCCCCCTGATTCCCACCCCACAGACCCGTGTCAGGGCTGCTGCCTCCCTGAAGCCTTTCCTGCCCCCCTGACCTGGGCCAGGAGGAACCGTCTCCTCCCCTGACCTCTCTGCTCACCGGTCCTTTGAGCGGATCCCCCTTCCACCCTGGCATTGGCCGTCCACCCCGGGCCCAGCCACGCCCGATTCAGGGTCAGTGGTGGTGGCAATCAGTGTCTGAGTCAACGCTTGTCAGAGTTCTGTGTCAGGTGGATGCGATTCTCCTGCCAGGATGGTTTCCCACTCAGCTCCGTGCCCAAGCGGTCGGCTCATTCACGAGCCCCCTCTGACGCCAGCCTGGTCTGTGCCTTCCAGGCTGGGAAGCCCTGTTTCTCACACTGCACCCGCAGGTCAGGCCGGATCCTGAGGCAGAGTGATAATCGCCTCAGCGGGACCGTCTCTTCGTCTAGGCGAAAAGATCCATTTGCGTTACGAGCTTCACAGTCTACACTGGCAGAAATCCTGGGCAAATTTTCATTCCTCACCTCTTCTGTGGCAGGAACCCACAGGCCATCTTTTTAGCATATGGAAGCATGACCTGTAAAGGGAGGAATTCTGAGAATAACCCGGTAGATAAACACTTACAAATAATACCGACAACATCCGCCTTTCATTGGGCTGCCTCCGTGGGTTTAAAGTCCTAACCTTCACCCTGACTTTTCTCAGTGTTGAGTAGGCTTTGCGCCTCCTTGCCTCTGCCAGGGTCCTTCCTTTTCTCTACCCCTTTTGAATGCCTACATCCTTTCTCTGCCTGAGTTTAATCTGTTTTCTTTTAATCTGAAGCTTCATTATCCCCCACGTCGTAGTAGTTCCTTAATTTGAGCTCTGAACACCTGTTCACATGTGGCTTCCTTTATCCACAGCAGATGATGCTTGTGGTTCTGGGAGAGTCACGATGCCGAGTGTGGCCTGGGGCCCCGTGGGCTGAGGGATGGACAGCACACCCCATCCTCCCCTGCTCTGCTGACGTGGGTCCCCAGCTCCCTGGATCTTAATGCCTTTTCCCGGCTCACTTTGCTCATTCACAAGCCAGCGTGAATGAGAACCTCTTCCTGGGACGGGCGGCTAGAGAGGCCCGGCACCAGAGTTCTTACCAGATTCATTTCGAGGCACCTCTGAAAAGTGCAGAAGCCTCACTCCCTGCCTCCCCGGCTTCAGGCCCAGAATCAACATTTGGAACACGTTGTCTCAGTCCTGGCTCGGCTGCTTAGCTGTCTGCCGTCCTCAGGCAGCCGCTCCGGGCCCCTGCACTGCGGCGTCCGCACGTGTAAAATAAGAGGGTTGGACAAGTTGATTACCCGAGTCCTTTTCAGATCTAGAATTCACTCTAAGATTTGTCAGATTTAAACTTGTTCTTCCTAACTCATGTCAAGTATAAAAATATGTCTGCTTGTCCTGCAGATTCATTATATTCTCCTTGGCATCTTCTCCCCAAGTGAAGATTTGCTCATTTACTTGGCTAAATGTGGGTGTTTGTGTATACATGTCTACAGTAGCTCTAAGCAAATGAAAGATTTCCGCTCTCTAAAATGTCTGAACGAACGGCACTGCGGCACCATGAGCCGACAAAGTGTCAGCCCTCTCTTCTGATATTTACAACCAGGTTCCTTTCATTGAGTCTGTTCGTCGTATTAATTATGAATGACCACGTCTAGTAAACACACATACTTAATACTCCTCAGCTGAAGGATCATGAGCATAAACTTCACATTTTCTAGCATACCATGCATTTCTAGCCCTGAAAAGGTTAAAAAGGCACTGGTGGGTCCGGGGGAAAAACAGCTTGTCTAAATGAGGTTCCTGTATAAAAGAAAGTGGTGGCTCGGGGTTACCCGTGGGGACATCATGTCACTTCCCCGGAAACTCAGTGATGAGTATTTTAAATCACCAGAGACCATGCTGATAGTCTCTTCAGGAGGTAAATGTACGTCAAGCGTAGGGAACTCACTGGGAAGTACTTGGAGGGTTGTCACCCTGCTTCTAGAAGGCACATTTCAACAGAAACTAGCATGTCCCTGGACAAAGCCCACTGCCGCGAAGCATGGACCCTGTCCAGGGTCCAGGCACTGTCAGGCACTTTCCATGCGTGGTCCCAGCTCGTCCTCCCAGCAGTGACCCCAGCCAGGCCCCAGCTCGTCCTCCCAGCAGTGACCCCAGCCAGGCATGATGTGCCCACGCTCCGCAGGGTTTGAGCTGGGGAGGTGGCGTGTGGGACCTGTAGGAGCAATGTGGCTTTGCAGTGTTGTAACAGATTCTCTGTAGTCAGGGAAACCGAGGTAAAATCTACTGTACCAGCACGAGCAAGACGTGGTTAGCATCTAAACTGTCGCAAGCTGATTGGCTTTGTATTTTGTTTTTGAGGATGGAGAGATTTGGCCACATGTCTTTAATATAAACTTTTTTTCCAAATGGATTTATTATTATTATTATTTGCTCTTGAATTCTAAAGCCAGTGTTCCCTTCCTCTGCAAAAAGGAAATTCTTATCCATGTTGCTTGTCACTGTTTTGTATTTGTCCCGCTCTGAAATAAGTTTCACCTGGACTTAAATGAATTGGCAAGTGCCTGTTTTCCTTGGTGCCCACGGAAAATGATAAGCCAAGGAATGCCATATTGTAAGGTGAAAACATTAATCTCGATATTTTTGTACTTTAGAAGAAAATTGAAGAGAAAGAAAAAGATCAAGTAATTTATAACAGGCTTATGTGGGAAATAAAGCATATGGTGTCCATTTGGGTAACACACCTGCTTATAGTAGTATCTTCTCCATCCTTTTACCTGAACTTTCATTATAGGAATAAAGGAACATAGGAACTGATAAAAACTGAGTAACCAAGGGGCGCCTGGGTGGCTCAGTTGTTAAGTGTCTGCCTTCGGCTTAGGTCATGATCGCAGGGTCCTGGGATCGAGCCCCACATCAGGCTCCCTGCTAAGCGGGAAGCCTGCTTCTCCCCTCTCCCTCTCCCCCTGCTTGTGTTCTCTCTCTTGCTGTGTCTCTCTCTGTCACATAAATAAAATCTTAAAAAAAAAAAGATTTAAAAAAATTGAATAACCAAGAATTCATAATATCAGAAATTGTTAGTTTCACTTTAAATAATTTTTGTGCTACCCAAAATAGAAAATGCTGGTCCCAAGTTGTGCTAATTGGTGTTTCTCGCTGCAGCTTTGTGTGATGTGGTCAGTGAGCAAGCGCATGACTTTCCCACGAAGCAGAGGCTCTGGTCTCCATAATAATATGTTCCTTCTGAGCAAGTCCTGTTTCTTAGCAGAATGACCTGTGACACTCAGATTGAACCAAGATGGATTTGCACACCCTGAAAGAACGTAGGGTAGGAAAAACTCTTAAATTCTCATGTGAATTTTTTTTTTTTTTCCTAATCTCCAACAGAATAATCCAGTCCTAGCACCTCCAAGCCTAAGCAAGATGATCCAGATGGCTGGGGAGATCGCAGACGGCATGGCATACCTCAACGCCAACAAGTTTGTCCACAGAGACCTGGCTGCCCGGAACTGCATGGTGGCCGAAGATTTCACGGTCAAAATCGGAGGTGTGTTCTTAGCTCTCCAGAGCCGAGCAAGAACTAAACTCACTCATGTTTTAGGAACTGAGCTGGCATTAGCCTCTGTTCAAAGAGGTTTTCCAATGCATCCCATGAGTACAGAGTCTTGCTCTTGGGACTAACGTGGTTGTCTCCAGTTGATAGTCGATCGAAAATCTGGCCAGGTTGGCTCAGATCCCTACCGCACATGTGGACACAGTGGAACAAGTAGTGGGCAAGGATGGACTGAGGCCGTGGTCCCTGAGGTAGCCTCTCCTGACACTTGAGGCATTTCTTGGCAGAACAGTACTAAGCATTAGTTACAGAAATAATTGAGGCGACATCCTCAGGTGATTTTGACTTGGGAATAAAAGTTGCCATCCAAACTATCAGTATTTCCCCTAATATTCCAAGCTCGAAAGGAGCTTTGTCTTCCAGTGGTCCATGGAGTTTTCTAAGAGGTGAGATCGCCTGATGGTGAAGGCCCTACATAGAATAGGAGCAGTGACAGGGCAGTGGCAAACCCTCAGGTAAGGGAAGATCACTGCTCATTGGGGTTCATGCCCAGGTTGATCAACTTCTAAACTCGTGACCTGTCTGTTGTAATACTTAGCTAACCAACCTGCTGGTTAGACCTCTTGTTGCCACCACCCACTCAAACACCAAAAAAAAAAAGGGGGGGTGGGGATTGGATTGCATTTCTGGTGTAAGTTAGAAATTGATTTCAACCTTTAGGTGTAGGCTTTGCCTTGATCTCTTAATCCTGATCTAAAAACAAAACTAAACAAAACTAAACAAAAACCACATACAACCTCAGGGCTGCCCAGGAAGACACCTGCTCTTACCAGGACCCTTATCTTCCTACTATGAGATGATGATGGTTCAGAAAAACATCAAATATTTATCCTGAGAAACTGCAGAGGACACTTTACATCCGAAATCTATTTAAAAGTAACCTCTTTGATTTTGCTGACTGTCCCAACACATAAAAACAGACACAGAGAGTGAGGGGACAAAGGAATATGTCCCAAATGAAAGCACCAGGCAAAATCACAACAACAGAGCTAAACAAATCAGAGATAAGCAATATGCCTGATAGAGAATGTAAAGTAATGGTCATAACGATACTCACTGGACTTGAGAAAAGAGTGGAGGACCTCATTTGAGACCTTCAACAAAGCGATAGAAAATATACCAAAGAATCAATCAGAGATGAAGAACTCAGTAACTAAAATTAAAAATACACTAGAGGGAATAAGTAGTAGAGGAAACAGAAGAGCAGATCCATGAGCTGGAAGGGAGAGTCATGAAAAACAACCAAAGGGAACGGGAACAAAAGATAGGTTAAAGGAAGTTAGAGGATAAGTTAAAGGAAGTCACCGACACCATCAAACATAATAGCATTCACATTTTAGGGATGCCAGAAAGAGAAGAGAAAGAAAATTTATAAAATAAATAATAGCTGAAAATGTCCCCAATCTGGGGAAGGAAACAGACCCAGGAAGCAGAGAGAGCCCCCAGTAAAATCAACCCAAGGAGGTCCACGCCAAGATACGTAATAATTAAAATGGCTAAAAGTCGTGATGAAGAGAATTTTAAAAGCAGCAAGAAAAAAGAAAACAGTTATATACGAGGGAAACCCCATAAAATTATAAGCTGATTTTTCGGCAGAAACTTTGCAAGGCCCAAAGGAAATGGCATGATGTATTCAAAGTACCGAAAAGATAATAAAGTGAAATAAAACTAACCTCTTTGTCTAGCTCTTGAACTGTCTATTCTGGAAATGCACTCTTAGCAATAATTTTTTTCTTTAGCAATGATTTTGAATGAACTGTTTGGGCCCTTCAATTGTGAACAGTGAGTATCGCCTCTAGAATAGTTACCAAATGAGATTTTCCCTCTGTAGGAGACAGAGGTGATGAGTGGAACGGTATCATAGAATAAACATCCCTTGATCCTCAGAATTACTCATTCAGGAGCCACCGGTCCCTGGATTTGGCCCTTTGAAGCTTCCACATATCTGGTGCGCCTTGAAGCCTGAGAGGCTGTCATGCTCCCGGGTTTCCAAGGAAGAGCCTCTCTGGCTGCTGTCTGGGCTTTCTTTGCGCTTCCTGCTCACTTGCCCTTGCTTTTGCGTTGCCCTCCCTTCTCCATGAGGACTCAGATTGTTCCCACAGAGATGCCAACCAGCTCCCCTTCACCAGCACCAGGGAACATAAAAGGCCTGAGCTTAAATCCTGGTTCTGCCAGTAACAGATAAGACTTGGGACAAGTGCCTTAAGTTCTGTGAGCCTCAGTCTCTGTCCCTCTGAAATGGGCAATGCTGATACAGCAGATGGGATGGTGGAAAGAAGTGGGTTCAGGGAGGCTATAAGCACATGCCTGGGCCTCTGTAGATGTTATGTCCTCCAGCCATTGGCATCGTGCGTCCCACCCTCTTCCTGGCACATGCAGGAGCTCAGTTCACGCTCCTTTCTTCCTGGCTTCACATCACGGTGGGAGAGCTAGTATTGTGCCTCTTGCCATTGGAAGTCCAAATCAGCAAGGACCATATTTGCCGTTTAACTAGGTGGCACATTTATAGTGACATTTTCTTGGTACTTGTGGTTTTTCTCACTAAAATTTGAAATTTTTCTTTTGTGTTAAAAAATAGCTTGTGTTCTTTTTCTGGGATTTCCTTTATTTTTTTTTTTTTCCCTTTCTGTGCAAATAAAGGCAAGTCCTCTCATTTGCATGTCACTGGATTAATTCCAAGATAAGACTTCAGCATTCATTTTTATTTTTCACTAGGGTTCAAAACCCCTATTTCTCCTATGCCCAGTGTCTCCTGGATTACAAACATGACAAGTAATTTCACCAGAGGCAGTTCGACGGCCCTCAGCTCAGTACAAGTAAATTGTGTTAGTTAACGTCCAAGGAACTTTATTCCCCGTGTTGTTTGCTTTGTAGCCCTGATGGCTTTGTGGCATAATTAGAGACATGAATGAACATTTGAGAAAGGAGAGCAGCCCTTTCTCCTGAGAAGGAGAACGGAAGAGTCCCTGTAAGAAAAGGTTGTACGATTGAGTGGAAAATCAAAATCTGACAAAGAAGCAATAATTTAGGATTATAAAGCAAGCCTGCCATCAAACATAATTACATGACATCTTCTGGAGACTGGAAAATGGAAGAAGTTTTCAAAAATGAGTGGGAGTATTATGTTGAAAAACATTATTGAGTAATGGCTCCAGGGGCCTAGTAAATATCCTCTCCCCGACATCTTAGGGTACTTTTTTCCCCCGTGAATTTGTACTTTGAATATTTTCCCCCATATTAAGCAGCAAAACTACCCTATTTCCTCTGGCAGTGGGCAGTGCTACCAAGGCAATAAGAGTCAACATGCCCTTGTTTATTTCACCAGGTTTTAAGAACACATAAAAGAGACCTTTGGGTCTACACAGTATGTATCTTCTTAATAAATTGTATGGCTCGATAATTTGTAAATGCTTCTCATTTTTAAGTAAATGAAATTATTTATTTATTTGGAATTAACTTTTTAAAAATGATTATTTGAAAGAGAGAAGGAGAGAGAGCAGGGGGAGGGGCAAAAGGAGAGAGAGGGAGAGAGAGAGAGAATCTCAAGCAGACTCCCGGCTGAGTGTGGAGCCCAACTCGGGGCTCGATCTCACGACCCTGAGATCACAACCTGAGCTGAAATCAAGTCAGTCGCTTAACTGACTCAGCCACCACGGCACTTCTGGAATTAACTTTTTTGGAGACTCAAATTAGAGACCTATTTGAAAGCCGAGATTTCTTGGTATTTCCTTGTCATGTGATTAATCAATTATCCCTTGCCGAGTCTGCCTTATACAATTGTGAACACTGAGATCCAGCCTCCTTAAAGTGCACTCCCCCTTGGATGTGGGTATGGGACCCTCACCTGCAGCAGGGATGGGACATCTTTGCTACTGTCCCAAGAGCTGTTCAAAGCACATCACTCTGGCACCTTCTCTCCACCTTACAGATTTTGGTATGACGAGAGACATCTACGAGACAGACTATTACCGGAAAGGAGGAAAGGGGCTGCTGCCTGTGCGCTGGATGTCCCCCGAGTCTCTCAAGGATGGAGTCTTCACCACTCACTCTGACGTCTGGTATGAGAGACTTTTCCTATAACACAAGCCCGGCATCCTCCAGCCTCCACAGATCCCATTGGCTCCGTCTCAAGCGCTTTATTTTCTCCTGTTTTCTGTTCACTCTTACCCCATTTCCAGCTTCAGCCCAGAAGTGTCATGTGGGCCACACTCCTGCGTTGTTTAAGGTTCCTGTTGTGGGCCGCCTCGCTAAGGGCATTTGTGGGATCTGAAAAATTTATAGGACCAACCTTTCTTCCGATCCGTAGCTGCTCGCTAAGCAGCCAGGAACCCTAGTGACAGAACACCAGGAGTCAGAAAACTTCAACCTCTCCCCTGTCTGCCTGCTCTCATTTTATCTTTCCCAACAGATACTTTGCATGTGCGTGGCTGCCTTACCTGATTCAAACTTGGGATTGCAGACATTACTTTATTTAGACGAAAAGCTTACGAGTCCGGATGTGTTTTCTTGTTGGTCCTGTCTGCTATCTGTCCTTTTTCCATGGGCAGCATCATCGTTGACCCAGGGATGGTGTGGAAAGCAGAATGTCTCCCTTAAAGATAAATGTGTCTCGGGGTAGAAAGCTTACCAGCTGCGGAGTGCAGAGGACTCTTAGTTGTACTATTGTGATTCATCAGCAACCTTGTAGAGAGGAGGTCAGGTCCTAAAATACAACTGGGGTCCTTGGCAGGCTGAGGTCCTGGCACATCTGCCTTCTAGCACGTCAGCTCATTTCTTGGCCGTCCCCTCCGGAGATCCCAATGCTGATGTGTTATAGAAATGGTAGTTGTTCGCTCCACTTGTCTGGACGACTACACACAAGAGCTATTTAAGTAGTGACCAACATCATTTTTTTTTTTAACCTCATGAACCTTTCACAGTTCAAGGGCCTTGGATCTTCCTTTGAAGACAGGTGCAAATTGGAAATAGCATTTGAATATGACCCAGCAAAGCGCAGTTGCTTCTCGAGTTCACATAGGAGATCTGTTTTGCAATCAGTCTGTCCAGGGTAGTTATCTCTTTGCTGTCAAATCAAAGTGCTCACCGTCATTTTTAGATGTAGAGATGATGGGGAGGGGACAGGCCTGGGTCTGTTCACACATCTCATTATTCCAGCCCCTGTGCCTCCAAAAGCTCCAAGGTCAGCTTACAGTACGATAAAATAGAGAAAACTGTGAGAGCCAGGGAAAACAAGGGGCAGAATAGGACGATAAAACTGGAGTTATTAATATCTCCAGGCTAATTTTGCCCAAACTCAGGTTAGCAATGATTGGGACAAACTGCAACAGAGGGACATAGAGAGTGTTCGATGCTAGTGTTCTCCCACTTGATGGCATCGATCATGAACCAATAATATATTTATATAAACAAGAGTGGGTATTTGGTATTCGTTCCATTCAATGTCCAGGCATTAGATTTTTTTTTTTTTTTAACACAGTCTTCGAGGGTAACACAGGTAGGTAGGGCTCACATCGGTCTCTTGGTGATACCTGTTGGCCCTCCTCTGAGGCAGAGCTGCACACCGTGCTGTGTTTCTGATAAGACGGGCCTCGGAGTCACAGGAAGGGGTCTCTTTTCTGCAGTTTGGACATTTCCACATTTTTCTGTGCCCCTTTGAGATTTTATTCCCAGGCCCTTGGACCCGGTGTTGGCTCCTCTCTAGCCCTGTCCCTGCCAGCATTTCCTTCGGGTCAGGAGACACAAGTGTGTTCCCTTCCTGGGTATGCAGACTGGTCTCCAATAGTCTTCGTTTCTTGACTCACTAAGGTTTCCAAACAGCCACAAATATCCAGGGCTGGTTGCACCCACTTACAATCATCTGCTTCTCTAGTGGCTCAAATATGAGAGAGGGGAACATGGATCTCTCTGTAGGTCTTGAGCTGCTGGCGGGTGGGACATCAACACAATCCCATCTTGGTATGCAGAGGCGCGGTCCCTGAACGCTGACCCCAGGCAGCGCCGGCACTGACCTGCGAGATTCACAGCAAGCTGCACCGTCTCTGGGGAATGCAATGCTCATAATTCAAAAAGACAGCACATGAAGGCATTTGTCCGATGTTTCAGGAAGAGCCGTGTCCACGGAATTCGTGACTTGGTTTTATGTTCACATAAAATGTGCCACATTGCTAAGTACCTGCTTCGAGAAACACATGGGTTTTGCCTCTTTCTCAGCGTCCCTGACTGGCTGTGTGGCCTTGGTCAAACCATGGGACATCGCGGGGCTTTGGTTGCTCCGTCTGTGGGTGAGGTCTGTTTGGGAATGTCTACACGCCCTGTGAGGCCTGCAGGAGCTTGACTGATGTTTAAATGGCTCCTGTGACAACCCGGGATGCCAGGGAGGCGTCTCAGTGTTGGGTAGAGTCGGTTCAGCCTCCATCCATAGACTCCCTGCAGCTGGTCACATCCTGCGAAGGATGACCAGACTCCAGGATTAAGTGGCCCTCCCTGACGAGCGACACTGACATCACACAGGAGTTACTCGGGGGAGGCCTCCGGGGGAGAGCCGGGCCTCTTACCTGCCGTGTTACTTCACGCGTATGATCACGAGGGCCTGGTGAGGCCCAGGAAAGGCTCGGTGGCGGGGAGGACTCCTGTCCTTGAGGGGTGAAGTCTTATGGAGAAGAGGAAGCAATCCTGAGGGACTAGAGTCATGGAAGCCTGGCCAGGAGAGATGGGGTCGTGCGGCACCCTAAAGTATGAATTGTCCCAGCCGGAGCCATGAGGGTGTGGGTTCCTGGCAGCGGGAATGCAGGGGAAGCCATGGTGGCAGGATGCGCTTGCTGCTTCTGGAGGACGGTGGGACTCCCCTGAGGAGGTTAGGGGAGAGAGAGACCAGCGCTGTGTCAGGGGCTTGGGCCTGATCCTTCAGGTTCTGCAAAGACCCGCAGAGCTGCTGAAGGCAGAGGGACCCAGGAGTGGGACCCAGCACTGTGGTTTAAGATGTTCCCATCAGCTGAAGCCTGAGGCTGTGTGGAGTCAGGTGCTGGCGCCCCAACGGGATCCTGGGGCGCGGTGCTGGGCTCCAAGGAGGTGGAGGGACAGGGGACCCAGGGTGGACTGCCCCAGTGAGGCCAGAAGAGCAGGGCTGTGGGATAGACTGTGGTTGCGACACGTGAAGTTTACGGACGGCCAGGTGACTGTGACCGGGAGCTTGAGCCAGAGCAGCTGGAAGGGTCCAGGCGGGAGCTGGTGAGTGAGCCAGCTGCTGCGGCCTACGGAGCACAGGTGGCTCGGGAGGGAGCCGCGCTCCCAAATCCTTCCCCAGCCTGCAGTCAGTAAACACGGCAAGCTGGCCGTTTCTTGGGCTGCCCTATGTGGCAGCGGTGGCCTCTGGGCCATGTGCTGCTGGGACCAGGCGCCCTGCGGTAGGAGATCGCACCGCCGGAGCTGATGGAGAAGCTGGCCGCCCCAGCCTGAGCCTCTGAACACCGCACCGGGGCCTCTGCGGTCTCTGGCTTTTCTAGGTCTCTTACGCAACATTAAAGACTCTTTCTTGGCCACTGGAAATTACAAAGGACCTTGGGTGGGTGCATCCTCTGCTAAGATTCTGTCTTTGTGTCCCACGTCTGCTCTCAGCAGCAATTTGCCCAGAAGCCTTCCGCTCACGATGGTGGTAGAGTCCGAGCCCCTCCTGGCTCAGGATCGCAAGAGCTCTCGGCGGGAAGCACCGGGCCCCAGAATGTTCCATGCGGCTCTGCCAGCACCCCTGGCCTCGCAGAGTCCCATCAGAAGCCCCTCGGGCCATGGGCTGCGGGCGAGCCTGCTATTCCACCGAAATGAACCGAATGTAAAGGCAAACAGAGGAGAAGCTGTACAAGCCGGCCGTGTGTGTCGGGAAGGCACCTTTACTCTGCAGATTACAGCATCGCCTCTTTAAACACTACCCGCCTGACCTTTCGGTGTGCGTGTATATGTATTTTAATTTGTTTTCCGGTCGTTGGATCTTCTAAACCAACAGACAGACGGCATGCTTGGCAGAGTCGCTCACTGCTCCCCTTGCTGAATTGACTTCTCGGCCCCTTTGCCACTTGGCTGAACTCTGCCTAAGGATGCCCAGGGAGCCCCAAAACCAGCCAGTCCTGCCCTCCTTGCTCCCTCCCCCCACCCCTGCCATGACACTGAGCCCCCCACAGGCCGGCAGCTCCCGCGGCCCCCCAGGGCTTCTCTCCCCACTGCCCCCACTGGCCCTGGGAGATCCCCGGTGAGTTTTCCAACACTCCGTACCGATGGGATCCGAGCTGTGGGCAGGGACCCGAGGCATCGTGTGTTTTAAAAACTCGCCAGGAGACTCTGCTCTGCAGGCAGGCTTGAGAGCTACTTGGGTACAGCTTCCCAAATCGGGGGAGCTCGTTCACCGGCTTGGCTGTCCTAGGCTGTGTTCGAACCCACTGCACTGCGGTCCTGGCAGGGCCTGGGGATCTGCTTTTGATTACAGGATACAGTGCATTTGGGAGACTGTCCTGCCCGCTGCACAGCTGGGGCCCTGACCTCAGGTTGTCCGGGCTTCACAGGAGCGCTCAGGCGCTTCCCAGTCCTTCGGGGGCCCCTGCAAACCCGCTCCACTTTGGCTTCCTCCACTGTGCCCCGGGGCTGTGTCTCCTGTGCAGAAGACATGAGTAGCAACCGAGGGAGACGGACATGCACAGCCCGCCAGTGCCGGGCCCACAGCAGAATGCGCGGGTGGCTGCCCCCCGGGGTGGGCAGGTGCTGGGCGGACAGGGCCAGCGCGGTCAGCGGTCCCCTTTCTGAGCCCTCATGTTGTCCCCTCTCTCCCACAGGTCCTTCGGGGTCGTGCTCTGGGAGATCGCCACGCTGGCCGAGCAGCCCTACCAGGGCTTGTCCAACGAGCAGGTCCTTCGCTTCGTTATGGAAGGCGGCCTTCTGGACAAGCCGGACAACTGTCCCGACATGCTGTACGTCCTCCTTGGGCCCCCGCCGCACCCCCTCCACGTTCCCTGACCCGTGACCTGGGGTGGGGGGCGCGGTTCTGGGAGCCAGTCTCTCAGGCCGGCGGGACGCCATGATGGCCGGGGTGGGGGCAGTTTCGAAGAGGGTCTTCTTGATGGTGGGAACCTGCGCCTTCGTGGGGCTGCCTCAGTTTCTCTCCGTCTCCCTTAGGGTTCTGATGGACCAGTTTGCACTGGTCTTCTCAGGCCACACGTCTCTGTGGAGTATTTGCCCAAAGCAATCCTTACCCGTCTTCTCCCTGCAAAGTTAAAAGGGGGGGGTCGTGGGGGACACCTGCATGACAGTGAGCGCTCTTGACCCCGTTCCAGAGCCTCCCGCAGTGGTGGGCAGGCCTGCAAGAACTGGCACCTGCACTTGCCTCCGCCGCGGGGCTGCCCTCAAGTGTCCTCCCTGCTGAGCGTGGACAGAAGTCGTAAACCATGCAAGGGACATGCTCCCTGGAGCTTCAGGCAGTGACCCCCGGGGAGCCTAACGCAGAGTGTCCGCGAGCCTCCTGGGCCTCGCTGCTCGGCCCTTAGGAGAAGCTGCCGGAGGCCAGCGCTGCGGAAGGTGGCTGGGCCTCACTGTCTGGCGGAGGAGGAACAAGTCAGAGGAGGGTGTGAAGGTGGCCTGGGGCAGGGTCGTCGGGTGCAGGACAGGGACAGGTAGAGAGTGGTGCACTTGGTTTTAACACGCACGTGAAGGTGGGGCCTGGAGATTCTTCTGGATCCCAATGGGTGGAAGGTAGGCTACCACCACTAGGACGTCGGACCTGGGGACCAATTCAGGAATTTTCCAGAAGTGTTTTTCTGGACTTGTTTGGCTTCTCGTGAGGAAAGATCCCAGAGGGACTGTGGGGCTGCGTCTGTGTCTATGTGGAAGACCCCCTAGATCTGCCTCACGCGAGCACTGCCTCAGGCTGCCTCCGAGCGGCGGGATGGTTTGCAAACATGAGGCAGATACCCTGTCAGGCGGATACCGGGGAAACTGGCCTCAACAGCCATGAAAGTCTCGCTCATTTGAGTCTCTCAGCAGTTTCCTTGGGGCAGGAATCCAGATGCAGGGGGGCTGGCCCCTCTGCTTGGTCTCAGCAGACTGAAATCTGGGGCCACCATCATCCCAGGCTCTGGGCCTCCCTCTTCCACGCCCCTCAGGTTGTCCGCAGGATTCAGTCCTGTGGCTGCGGGACTGTCGCCCTCCCGGAGACTGGGTCTTCTCCTACCTGAGCAGCTTACTTCTTCAGACCCAGAAGGACCCTCTCTCCGCTGCTTTTACCTTTTGTTTTACCTGATTAAGCCACATCTCCCCCAGATAATCTCCCTTGTGGTTAACTCAGAGTCAGCTGATGAGAAAACTAAAATAGCCGAGGGAAATCCTGTCATCACCCGCGGTCCGACCCGCATTCAGGTGAGGGGTTACAGGGGCAGGAATCTCGGGGAGCGTCTTAGGGTCTGGCTGCCATGGCTTGGGAAACAGAAACCATTGTCCATCAACAAACCAAGCTTTTGTGTTTTTTTCTGAAGGACTGGGTTGCTACCAAGACTGACTCCCCAGCTCCATGGAGATGTGGGAAGCCTTGTTCCCATGGCCCTGACTGCGCAGCTGCAGGTCCTGCGGGCTGGGGGTGACTCAGTGTGGCACCCCTGTGCTGGGGAGCACATTAGCTGGGCCCTGGGCCCTGTAGCTGCTGCTTGTGAATGTTTGTTCAGCTGAAGCCCATTCTAGCCCATGGACAGTTTGCATGGAAGTATGAGAGAGGACCTACCACTGCCATAGGGAAAGCAGCATCCTTGCATTGCTCTTGTGTGTGTGCGTGTGTGTGTGTGTGTGGTGGGACGGGGGAACCCACTGATCATCTGAGCCTGGGCCCAGCGTGGGAACTTTGCATGGTCCTCGACGTGGGGCACAGAGTAGGCCCACCAGTGACGGGAGGCTCCTCTCCTCAGTGGGCAGTGTGAACGGTGGAGGGTGGGGAAAGGGTGGCAGAGACAGAGTGGGAGGCAATGGGGTTTCCCAGGTCCCTCAAGAACCTTCCCAATTAGCCTCTTAGACTTCAGGACCCAAAATTAGAAGAGACTCAAAGGTCACTTAGTTTTAAAAAAAAAAAAAAAAGTCACTTAGTGCATTTTCTTGCCTAGCATGGAAACGTTCCCTCTCCCAACCTGTACCTGTACCAGTTTTCCACTGCAGGACATTATCCCAAACTTAAGAGTTGAAAACAACAATCAGCATTTGCCATCCCACAGAGTGTCTGAAGGCGGAAGCCGGCCGGCTGCAGCCTGAGTCTCCCGCCCAGGGCCGCTGTCCACAGTGGGTTTGACCAGGGCTGGGACCCACTTGCAAGGTGGCACGCCCATGGGGCCAGGTGCCAGGCAGCTGGCTTCTCCCGGAGCAGGCTCAGCAAACGCTTCCTCTGGAAGGACAGAGGGGAAATATTTTCCAGCTCCAGGGGCCCACACGGTCGCAGTGACAGCCACTCACCTCTGTCACAGAGCCAAAGCCGTCACACGTGCCACGTGACGGGGCACGGCTATGCTCCCGGACAGCTTGGTTTGGGGATACTGAAGTTTGAATTTCCCGTACTCCTCACATCACAAAATATTATTCTTATTTTGATTTTTTTTAACCACTTAAAAGTATAAAAAACCATTCTTAGCTCCTAGGCCTTACAAAATCGGCTGTCACTGGGGTCTGTTCTCTCCGAACAGTGTGGCTGCCGTATTCTTGTCAGTGTATTGTAAGAAAGGTCTTCCTTCAGAGAGGAAATCTAAGTCATGGAGCACAAGGAGTGATGCGCACTGAATTCGCATCCAGGTGTCTGGTGCAGAACAGAGGCGGTGGCTAGAACCCGCGGCGTGGTAGCAAGCTTAGAGACAGTCCAAGAAAGCATGTGTGCATTGCATTCATGTGGTTTGGAGGTGGTGGGAGGAGAGTTATTGTTTTCGAGCTTCCTCTTTGGGATAAATGTTGGCCGCTGAGAAACTTGTAGGACTCCTAGAGTTGAGCTACCTCCCGGTGACTGGAGTTTTGATACTAATTTAATAGGCGTGGGAAGCAGCCCACCTGCCACGGGAAAGGGCGCGCACTTCCTGTTCCCAGCACAGAGTGACCAGGAAACTCACACGGAGAGGTTACCAGTGGATATTAGATGTTTAATTCACGAGGCATTTCCGGCTTTGCCATCCAGAACCCCCCCTTGGCCAATTGTTCTCCCTTCTAAGAAAATAACAAAAGGAAAGGAGGCGAGTTGGTTGTATAGGGAACGTCTGGGTTGGCTTGAACGTATCGATGAGCCTGGGTGAAGGAGGGTCCTGGGAGAGGACATCTTTGGTTACCGGCATGGCAAGAACAGACTCCTGTTTCTCCCAGAGGAGAGGAGAGTTGAGTCACTGAGCTCGTGGGAATTGCCCCAAAGCCCCTCTGGGCCTCCATGTGGGAGAGGGACCCTTCGATGATGTGGCTCCAGGGGTCTGAACAGGCCCCAGTGTGATAACGTGGGGTGGGGGGAAGGAGCAGAGGCTCCCGGGGGCCTCAGCTCAGCGTCCACGCAGGCAGGTGAGGTGGACTGCTCTGCAGTGGCCGGTACGCCCGTCCCCCAGTGGCCAGGTGCACCGCAGCTTCGAGGAAAGGCGGAGTGGTCCAAGCCACACAGAGTCCCATCCAAGCTTGGGAGTCTTAATGCCGAGACTCGGTTTGAATTAATTTAAAAAGGGGCACGAGATCAGCTTTGGCTCGTGGTTCGCCGGTGGCTTGCATTTTAAATCGATGACACAGCCCATCTCATGGTTCTGTACTTACACCACGAATGTCCTTGTGTCCCTCTGGCTACATGCTGACTGCTGACACCCCAGAGACGGTGGCAAGGCTGGGTCCTAGCTCTCGGAAGCGGGGCTGCGGGACCGGGTTCTCACACTGCAAGCTAGAGCTCAAGCAGAGGGGCGCTTGGAGTCGTGAGCCCTGGGCCAAGAAGCCGCTTGGTCTTCGGTAAGACTTCCGCAGTGTCACACGTCCGGACAGTTGTCAGGGGCAGTCTACAGCACATGGGACAGAATTTGAACTTTTGAGCCCATCTGAAACCGATTCAGTAGGCTTGGCTGATTAAGGCTCCCTCGGCGCCGGTGACCCATGCTGGTTTGGTGGGACTCGGGCGCTGGAGTAGAATCCGGACAGTGAGGAATGGCCGACCTCGCCTGCGCAGCCTTCCGACCATGGGCTGTCTCGTGGTACCTGGGCCCTGCATTTGATCTTGGCCTGAAGACAGAGTGGTGTGGGGTGGGGGGGTCCAGCGGTCCTGCTGTCCCACTGCTGGCCCCAGCTGAGAAGAGGCTCACGAGACAATCCTGGCTGTTCCAGGCTGCCAGGAGGAGGTGGAGGAGGGGCACACCAAGCCCTTCCGGGCCTTTCTGGAATCTGGTCTTTGTTGCGACAGTGGCCGCGTGTACGGAGGCTGCGCCGCATCTCACTTCTTGGCTTATGCTCACAAGCTGCGTGTGCGCACAGCAGGGCCGAGAGTAGGGTGCGACCCAGGGGCCCTCAGTGTGCGGGATGGGAGGGAGCAAGCCAGTCGTCGCTCTTCCCTCACACTGCCCCCCGGGGCCACACTGGGCTCCCTTAAGCGGCTTCACCCTTCACTGCCAGGCAGGGTGTGTGGTGTTCAGCCCCGTTTGATCTCCTCCCGCCCCGGGTGAAGGGTCCGCGCATACCCCTCCCCGGCCCCCAGAAGAGGGCATCCGGGAGAGGACGGCTCGGCCTCACCAGAGCCGACTAGTTGTAAAACATGTGCTTTTTTAAAGAAGAGGTTTATCAGCCCATAAATCCTTCTAGAGCCTACTGGAAAGTTTTCTTGTGGAGATAGTGTAAACAAGGTCTTGGATCCTACAGAGTGAAAAAGACTTCCTTTTATGGGCAGCCCTGGAAGGGCTGTGACTCGGGGATGGGTTAAGAGAGGCATCACATGGCTTGTTTGTGCTGATGTCACTCCAGTCACTCCCCTGCCAGTGGCACCTCCTCACCCACCCCCCCAGCCCCCACCCCAGCAGCCCTGAGCCAGCCCTCATCACGTGTTCCTGGCTGGCCACGCTTCTATTCAGGGACAAGTCAGTCAGCCAGAGAGGAAATTGCAGCCCGGCCACAGAGAGGGGTCCTGTGTATTTATGGCCTGACTTATTTGGGGGGCTGGGGGGAGGGGAGTCCTTTTCCTCCGGTCCGGGAAGGTGGGCGTGCTTGCCAGGGAACCCAAGGCAGAAGCTCCCTGTTTATCAGTGCAAATCCCCCAGAGCACTTGTGACCAGAGGAAAGGCACCCGGTCTCCTCGGAGGACCAGGGTTGCTTTTGTTGAGGCTGAGAAAATGCTCCTTTTCCTGAGGTAGGTGTTGCTCAAAGCCCAGCCCTCCTCTCCAGGGGAGCGCCCCACCCCACTCACCCTCACTGCTCGCACAGATCATGGAGTCTCTTGGTGCCTCCACTGCTTCAGCTACGAAATGGGCACATATTCTAAGGCGCCTGCTTCCCAGGCTCGGGAGGAGGAAGGCAGCTCACGTGTGTCAAACCCTGCCTGCCATCCCGTGTGTGTCACTGAGTGCGTGAACTGGGGGGTCAGTCCTGCCACGTGGTGAGTGGCGTGGCCAAGCGGTCAGGGGTAGTGTGGGGAGGGGAGCAGTCAGGTCAGGCTTCACATTTTGTCCAGATCTTTTTCTGCCGGAGGACGGGTGGCAGACGTTTTCTGTATAGGGCCACACGGCGAATATTTTGGGCTTCAAGGCCAGTCTCTCTTCCAGCTACTCAACTAGAAGTTGTCCCTTGAAAGCAGCCACAGACACATGTAAACAAATGGGTGTGGCTGGCCCAATAAAACACGGTTTACAAAAACAGGTAGCAACATGGGCGGAAAGCCTCTCCCCTATGTCCACTCTCAAAGTCACATCCTTTTCCCTCCCAACGACTTGACACCTTCTCCCCAGTTCTTTCAAGGTAGCTGGGGCCATTAGCTTAGGAGCGTTCTCTTTGCAGACTGGGTTCTGGGTCCCACGGGCTTCTCCCCTGGCTTCTTCCCCGGGGCCAGACACAAGCAAGTGCTCTGTCCGTCAAATGGTCAGCCCGAAGGAAGGCCAGAAGCCAATCTGGGAGGCTCTGTGCTCCCCAAATATGGGGCGTTCCATGGTGCCATCTTTATTGAAAAGCATCTCTTTAGCTAGAAGTTTTGCAGAGAATAGAATTTTCTGGCAAGAACAACAGTGGGAAGGGAAGGTTCTTTTGCTTCCAGCTCACGCGAGAAAGGGCCACTGGCCAATCCCTTCTCGGAACCATGGCCTCCTCCGGCTCTGGGGCCGGCCTGGTTGTTTGCTCCGTCACCTTCCTTTCCACTCCCAAGGTCTACCAAGCTGGGTCTGTCTGGGTTGTGGGTTCATCAGAAGCATTCCCTCCTCCTCCAGCCATCCTGAACCGTCAAAGCCCAGGCCTCCCCTAGGTCGGCTGGCCCCACCACCCCATTCCTCCTATCTCCTTCCGGGTGCAGGCTCTGGCTCTCCGGGGGCCCCGTCCCATTGCCAGGATGACTCCCGGTGGTCACGTGGTGCTGAGGGTTTTGCAGAGGTTTGCAACCCAAATGCCGTCGTGGTCCAGCTGGTGAGTCCCCACACGGGCGTCACGCTGTGTCTGCTGCCTGCCTCCGCTGGCACCTCCTGCCTTGTTGGGCTCTGGATGCAGGTCTTTGCTGGGACTGTCACTCAGCTCGGAGCAGCCTGGATCTGAGAGCAGGCTCTGCGTGGTGGGGCGCGCAGCAGGCAGTCTGGGCGGCGCTGGGCAGGACCCCGGGGCGACTTGGAACACATGCTCCTTCCGTCTTGTCGCCGCCCCGCCCCGCTGCCTGTTCTGCAGGTCCCCTGCTGGCTGTCCCCAGCCCCTGAGGGAAACCTAGAAATAGCAGAGGTGGGATTAAGAGAGAGCTCACTGTCGGGATAGTTGCGATCGCTTCTAACCCTTGTTACCGAGACACCAGAGGTTTCCTGCACCCTGATTCCGGAAATAATGTTCCATCCGTGGCTATAAGAGATGCTTTAAACAGAATCCTGTATAGGTTTTTTTATTTTTATTTCTTTCTTAAATATTTGTTTATTTTAGAGAGGGAGTGGGGGAGGGCCAGAGGGAAAGAGAATCTGAGGCCAACTCCCTGCTAACAGTAGAGCCCAACTGGGGGCTCGAGCCCTTGGCCCTGAGATTGTGACCTGAGCTGAAACCGAGTCTCGGACGCTTCACCCACTGTGCCACCCAGGCGCCCCTGTTTTTATGTCTTAGCACTGTCACCATAACACCTAGATCTGTCCTCCTTGGGGAATGAGCACTTAGGTTTTGCCCCAAGAAGGGTCCTGGGTCCTGGGTGAAGCGAAAGCCATGGTAGGACATGGGACAGGGGAAGCTGAAGGCTCCTCGGGCCATCGAGAGAGAAAAGCAGAGGCTCAGAGAGGCAGCAGCGCCCCTGGGGTCTCTGCGTGTGGCCGGGGGATCATGGCGAGGGGCCCGGGGAGGCGGCGGGGCCCATGTGCTGTGTGTCCTCACCTCAGGTTCGAGCTGATGCGCATGTGCTGGCAGTACAACCCCAAGATGAGGCCCTCCTTCCTGGAGATCATCAGCAGCGTCAAGGATGAGATGGAGCCCGGCTTCCGGGAGGTGTCCTTCTACTACAGCGAGGACAACAAGCCACCTGAGCCGGAGGAGCTGGACCTGGAGCCCGAGAACATGGAGAGCGTCCCCCTGGACCCCTCCGCCTCCTCGTCCTCCCTGCCGCTGCCCGACAGACACTCAGGACACAAGGCCGAGAACGGCCCAGGCCCTGGCGTGCTGGTGCTCCGAGCCAGCTTCGACGAGAGACAGCCTTACGCGCACATGAACGGGGGACGCAAGAACGAGAGGGCCTTGCCTCTGCCCCAGTCTTCGACCTGCTGATCCTGGGATCCCGGATCCCGTGCAAACAGTAACGTGTGCACACACCGGGCAGCGGGTGGGGGGAGAGAGTTCGAACAATCTATTCACAGCCTCTTGTACCTCAGTGGATCTTCAGAACTGCCAGTGCTGCCCACGGGAGACGGCTTCTCTGCAGTAAACACGTTTGGGATGTTCCTTTTTTCAATATGCAAGCAGCTGTTTATTTCCCTACCCAAACCCTTAACTGACATGGGCCTTTAAGAACCTTAATGACAACACTTAATAGCAACAGAACACTCGAGAATCGAGTCTCCTCACACTTTCCCTGTCACTCCTCACTTCTCTCAGACCTGTCTCCCACCCTTCCTCCCTCCCTCTCTCCCTTCTCTCTCTCTCCCCTTTCTCTTTCTCTCTGCTTCATAATGGAAAAACCTTTGCCGCAAGCCCAGCTGGGACGCCCTTTCGATCAGATTAAGGAACTGGCCGTCCCTCCCTGTGGCCCCACATTGCCCCCCCCCCGTACACACCTGCCTGTCACCGTAGGTCTTTATAAAAAAAACAAAAACAAAAACCACGTTGAGACGGAATTTTTTTAACTGTATCTTTCAGCTTTTTAGGTACATACGAAATTGACAAAGGGCCATCATGCTTTCAAGGTTGTTACCATTTTAATGCTGCCAAATTCTGCCAAAACCCTCAACTTCCTCCCTCCCGATCCCAGCACCTGTTTCCTTGTTTCCAGAGGCATGGGGCGAGCACGGTAGCGAGTCACACCATTTAGGAGCCACGCTGAGGACACACTCCATCTGATCGCCCCTGGTGTTCTTTTCCAGTCCTACGTTCACACAGGTCCAGTTGCTTTTTAACTAGGTTATTATTTGGGGGAAGTGGACAGAATGGGATTTTTCTCTCAGTGGAGACTGGGAGAGGCTGAAACCCCTCTTCCCCACCCCCCCACCCCACTTGCTAGCCCCCAGGAATTCTGGAGAAAATAGGCCCTGTCGAGAGCCTGGCAGACAGGCTTTGAGGAAAGGTCGTCCACGTGCCAGTCTCCTGTCCCCCCACCTCGGCCACCACCCCCCACCGGTTCCCGGCCCCCCAGGACGCAGATGGGAAGGGGTTTCCAGGGACTCAGCCCAACTGTTTATGCAGGTTTGCAAGGAAAGGAATTCAAATACCACCACAACAGTAAGAAGAAAAGCAGTAAATGGATTCAAGCATTCTAAGCTTTGTTGACATTTTCTCTGTTACTAGGACTTCTTCATGGGTCTTACAGTTCTATGTTAGACCATGAAACATTTGCATACACATCGTCTTTAATGTCACTTTTATAACTTTTTTACGGTTCAGATATTCATCTATACGTCTGTACAGAAAAAAAAAAAAAGCTGCTATTTTTTTTGTCCTTTATCTTTGTGGATTTAATCTATGAAAACCTTCAGGTCTACCCTTCTTCCCTTTCTGCTCACTCCAAGAAACTTCTTATGCTTTGTACTAGCGTGCGTGACTTTCTTCCTCTCTTCCCAGTAACTGATACTTCTATAACATAATTTGCCATGAACTGTTTGATGCCTTTTTATAAATACACCCTCCCCTCCCCGCTCCCCCCAACCCGTTAGTTATGTTCTAACCCGGAGGCTCTGTGGGCACGAGTCTGGCGAGGGACGCAGGCGGGCAGCGGGCGGCACCCCACTCCTCGGCCTGCTCCCACACGGCGCTGGGGTCTGTTTCAGTGCAAGACACGATACAAACTCAGGTCAGAAAAAAAAAGAAGGTTAAATACTTCACACATCCTTGTTCAGTGTTTCTAGTCGCCCTTGTTGGAAAAGTCTCACCTTCTCTTTCCCCGCACCTTTGTTTTGGTTGTGACACACATATATCTATTTTTTTAATTCTTGGGTACAACAGCAGTTTTAACTGCAGACACTAGGCATTTGGATTACTATTTTTTTTAATGGATATTTAATCCTTCCATCCCACGAGAAACAGCTGCTGAGTCCCAGGGTGCAGCGGGCGTGGTCCAGTGGGCCCCTCTGCGGCTCCCGCCGCCACCCTCCAGACTGACCTACCTGTCTCTAGAACCCAAAAATCCCCAGGTCCCTCCTTGGCACTGGCGGGGAAGGGGCCACAGGGGCAGCCTCCTCGGGTTGGCGGTGAGCCCTCTACCAGGTCTGGCAGCTGGAGGACCCGGTCGGGGCGAGCACCGCCGCGGTGGCCGGGGAGCCCCATGCTCGCTCCCGGGGGACGGGAGCCCTGGCACTGGTATGCTTTTCCTTGGCCGGGAATCCAAATCCTCGGGACCTGGGGGTCTTGTTTTGTTTAGTTTTTAGCACTTCTCACCAGAGTGATGACAGCATACGAGTTGCTTCTGGGATGGAAATGTTTAAATTATGAGTAGGAACAAAGCTCGAATATGATGATTGCTAGCTGTGACTGGAGATTAAACACGAGAAAGCAAGTGTGTAGTGCTTTCCTGCTTGTCGGTAGCTTCAGTCCTACAATTTTCTCTAGCCTCTGTCCCATAGTTTTTTCCCTTAAAAAAAAAAAGAAAGAAGAAAAAAGTTAATTAAGAAGGTATTATATGTAGGAGTTTTCTTTTAATTTATTTTGTGATACCAGTTTCAATCACTGTAGAGAAGCCCCATTATGAATTTAAATACTGAGAAAAGGGTTTTGTGTGTGTGTGCGTGTGTGTGTGTGTGTGTGTACGTGTGTAAGACAGGACAGTTTTTGGGTTTTTTTTTGTTTGTTTTTGTTTTTTTGCTTTTGTTGTTTTTTTTTTCTTGGTTTTGGTTTTCAAACATTTATCTACCTCACTCTTATTTTTTATATGTGTATATATACAAAACAATACATCTCACATTTCTCAGCACCTGACAATATGCCGTTGATACCAGTAACCTCTATCCACACCATAGGCCGCACATACCAGGCGAGGCAGGGGGAGGTCACGCTGTATCCCGGGGTCAAAGCAACACTAATACACCTCTCCTCCCATGTCAGACAGCTTGCCTTTTCCTGAGATGTCTCGTTTTGTGTTGCCTTCGTTCTTCTTCTCCCAACTTGGTTTCCTAAGAGGTTGTGAGGTGTTGGGATTTCCTTCCTCCCGGCCCAGGGCGCCCGCACTCTGCTGGGAGGCGAGCAGACCGAGCCGCGGGGAGGCCGCTGGGCCGCCCCTGGCTCTCTGCCTTTGAAAGGGGCTTCGCGCAGCCCCAACAACAGACAGATTCTGTCATTGGGAGAGCGCTAGTCTTCTGGGTTTGAAGGGCTGGCAGGACCCAGGGAGTGGGGTGGTGGGGAGGGCAGGCCGGCAGTCTCTGGGTTAGAGTCCCACCCAGAAAGGTGTGATGTTTGGATTTGGGTCGCTGCTCCAGCCGCCATGGGCAGGCCTGCCCGAGGTGGGGACGTGCTCTCACGGCGCTGGGTCAAGTTCAGTGGTGCAGCCACAACAGCCCTATTGAGAGCTCGGTCTGCCAGGCCTCCTGTGAGGGAATGCAGAGGTTCCTGACCTGCCAGCCGGTCCCATTCAGGAAGTACAGAGGACGGGATTCCCCCTGCCCCACCCCAGACTGTTCCGCAGCTTCACCCTCATCTCCTCTTCCCCCAGGCGAAAACAGAGACCAAACCTTCGGGCTGGAAAGGGCCGGTGGTCAGCGCCCAGCCTCCTTCGGGGGTGGCGCACCTCCTGCCAGGGCTGCGCCTTCATCCCGTCCTCCTGCTGCTCACACGGGTGGAGGGCGTGTGTCCCGATTCCAGCAGCTGCTCTCACAGGCACTGGTGACTCGATCTGGGAAAGGTGGTGGGGGTTTTCCCGAAGCAGGGATGGTTCCTTTCAGTTCTAGCGCTGTGGCTAGGCTCAGGAGCGCTCTTTCCACTGCGAGAACACTACCCTCTTTTCCCAAGGCCCCTGGCATCGTAAGGTCACTGAGAATACTGTTGGATCAGGGTTTTCTTCTTCCACACTGTAGGTGACCCCTTGGAATAGTGGCCGCTCCTCTTTTGCACATACCTACCGGTTTCCACAACTGGATTTCTACAGATCATTCAACTGGTTATAAGGGTTTTGTTTCAACTGTCCGAGTTGTTGGTGTCCTTTTGTTTTTGTTTTACGTAGGTGGTTTTTCTTTAAGTAGAAAGAAAACACTAATAGTGTAGTGCCCATCATAACAAATGCTTCAGAAACACTTAAATAAAAGAAAATTTTGCTTGTGTGATGGTGCAGTCATTTTACTGGACCAAACCACCCACCTTGACTATCCCAAGGCATCATCTATCCACAGTTCTCGCCTAATTTTATGCTGATTTTCCCACCTCTTCTTGATTTTTCTCTTTTGTATGCTCCAAATAATCTAATCAAGCTGAGTTGTGGCATTTTCCATGCAACCTCCTTCTGACAGCAGCTCACACTGCTTGAAGTGACATGAACCACTGAGGCACATCATTGAATTGATGTGAGCATTAAGACATTAGCACACACAGCCCTTCCCCGAGGCAGCAGGAGCTGGTGCATTCTGGAGACACTGTCGAACTTCAGCTGTGCGAGACCCAGACCACCCAGCTCTCCTTTATGGGATGTCATGACGTTTGACACACAATTGGAATGCGCTTCCTCCGTGGAAGACGGAAGACCGTGTTCGTGGCCAACGCTGGCCTCTCCTTCCAGCCTGTTCCTTAGGACTTGGGACAACATTTCGATGGGAGGAAACGTGGCTTGGTAAAATCTGAAAAAAAAAAAAAATAAGTAAATAAATAAATAAGTACTTATTGTGGAACTACCCGACGGCAAAATGCTTGGCAGGAGGTGATGAGCTCCGGTTGGGATAACATATGTACGAGCCAAGTATGATGCCGGACTCGAGGCCAGTTTGTTCCACCAAAGCCTCTTGTCAGCAGCTCACCTCTGCTGGCAGGTGGCAGGGCGTGATGCAGGCTGCTGTCGTGGCAAGGTCACACTAGCTCAGATGGGTGAGGAGCCTAGGGTGCTTGGTCCAAGGTCCATGGCTGTCACTGCTGGGTACCCCTAGGGAGGCCTGTGTCAAAAGCAACTCCCTTCCAAAACACAGGCACTCTCCAGTTGGCAGTAATGCTCCACCGTACACCCTGGCCCATCCCAGCAGTCCCACTAGTACATTTAAGGTTTGGGGTTTGTTCTTTTGTTACTGTTACTTTTGTGTTTGTCAGCTGGTTTTGTTTTTGTTTTGTTTT